AAGAACAAGAAGAAGAAGAATAATCATTATCATCATTCATTATTATGGGCCACAGTATTTCCCAAGAAACAATTTTGTGTAAACAAATTTACTGGCAGTTGCATTACAGACAACATGAAGTTCCTTAAAACCCCCAAATAACAAGCATAAACCACATGACTACAATTAGCATGAGTTCTGTTTCTGTCAAGCTATTTCACTTATTTGAACATTAAGACACTATGAATTAACAGGTCAAGATCTAGTACAGAATATATGCCATGCTTAAACTGCCTTTAAAACACAATTTTAAAAAAGGAAAATCAAAAAATCCTTTCCATTCATTCCTTCATGTTATAATAAAGAGATACCGTAACGTTTTGTTTCCACCATACAACTTCTAAGCCATAGAGCACTCCTCAATCATCATGTTATTCTACCCTTTTTAAGTCATGAAGACTACATGTAGTATTTGAATGTAAGTATGAGTAGAACTGAAAGGTTTTTGTGAAGTTTGAAATCAGCAATTGCCTGGGTGCCTACCCTGCCCCCCCCCCCCTACCCCCCACTTCAGGAACGGAGGGACCGCATTCATGTTCCCCAAATCTCTGGTAAAGGGGTACTTTTCACGCAACAATGTCTGGCTCATAATATCACCAAAAATCGGCTTGTAATACACAAAAATCAGCCCGTATTGACTTTACACACCAGACTTAAAGGGGTGCTTTCAAAGGAAGGGAACATATGGATACCCTAAATAATACTGAGGGGGGGGGGGGGGCAGGGTGACTACATTGAACAATTATGCTACTCTTCATCATTTAACATTACCATGAGAAAACAAGGGAATCATTTCTATTTTTTATATTCTAATTACCAATATTGCTTCTTCTTTTTTTTTTTTTGGGGGGGGGGGGTGTTTTTGTGTGTAAATTGGTTTTGTTAGTGTTCAAGTACAGTTGAAAGATTTCCATTCCACACTTTATTTGAGATTGTGCCTCTGCACGGTGCTATCAGCGTTGAAACTCCAAATCACATTCCTTGTATAAACACACACTTGTGTGAAGTTTAGAGGCCCCTGTGCTTTTCTTCCTCTTATCACACTAAGTAAATAAGAATAAAGGTGTGGCTCTAAAACCAAATTTAGCTTCTTCTTTTGTTTTTGTTCAAGCCTCACAAAACTAAGGGCATCATAAAATCTGGCACACACTCTCAAATATTCTAACTTAAGCATATTTATGGCATACCGGTACAATCAGGTACATGTAAGTTCTCACAGGCTTTCAAATTTTTGTGCCAAAATCATGTTTTTTGGAGCATAATAATTGTTTTTTTTTAGTCAACTTAATGATATAGAATATGATATTTATTTACATCACATACCCTTAATTGGCATCCATTTGCCTACGTGAAGAGTGATGTAAACAAACCCTATCATGGATTCTACATCTCTTTCCACACACACGGAACAGCGTAAACAAGTTTAATAAAGATATGCAAATAATGCAATTACATGTACCTCCCAATCCAAATTATCCCCAAAATTCCATAATTGCACAAAGTAAATATTTTAATAAGGGTTTAAAAAGTCACCAGCTACATACATATGTACTGTATAGTGCTTTGCCCACATTCAGGGAGATGCTGTGCAAGAGAAATATGGCCGCTCAATTCACAAATGAAAGTGTTGACCTCTAACCCGTTTTTTTTTTACATGTAGGTATGTACATGTACTGTCGAGTTGGGATTGCAGCACTAAAATGGCAACGCAAAAACAATTTTTATGTGTATTCCGTAGGTCTTTGCATTTCAGCCAGAACCAACATCACAAACTTTCGTAAGAGGTTAGCATTTTGTAATGTAAATTGTACTTTTACTAATTATCATCAGGAACATGTGGAAGGAGCAAATCACTATCACTCAGGTATCATTCACATGTCATACTTCTTTAATATAAATTGACTGATTTTCAAAGCCAGTGCTCAATGTCCGTTGGGTGCGGGAAGGGGTGATTTTGAACAAATTTTAGATTTTGTTTACCTGCCTTTCCACGCAGGGTATGGGGGCCAATTCAGGCTAGGTAATATTGATATGAATATCATATTTCATATCATAAAATGGCTCTAGTATTTTAATAATAATAATATTTAATTTTTATATACCGTAGCTCTTAATACAAATGTCTCAAAACTCGCCACTTGACATGCACCTATTTATGTTGCTTGCATGATCATAACCCTGAATGTTGGGGCTTTGATCGGATCAGAAGATCGGAGCGACACCCTCCCACCAGTGTTCGATATCGGCAAAAATAATCGGTTAAACAAATTGGCAGAATTTTTTTTTTTTTTTTAAATGCCAACAATTTTCAAGTTTTTGGATATAAAATGCTTTAAAACAATTCAAAGTTGGGATTATTTTGTCATTTGGAGTTGTTGTAGACCAGGCCTTCTCAACTGGCGGCGCGCGCGCCACTTGTGGCGCTTGCGGTCAGTCGGAGTGGCGCGCGGCTGTTCCAAAAAATTAATAAAAAATAAATAAAAATGAAAGAAAGACAAAATTAAAAACTGTATTTTAACATTTTAAAAACTCAGCAAAATCAAAAGTCGCAGTCAAATTAAGCACAAAATGTAAGCGAGCCATTTGGTTTGTTTGATTTTCACTTGATTTTTGACATTTTCCGTGTTTATTGCACCAAAATAACTACTATAGATTTACTTCCAGTGTAGATTTTGCCCAGGAATTGTACTAATTATTTCACATCAATATGAAATTATGATTGATATTTTATGGAATAAAAAGGTGTTAAAAATGCCACATATGGGCCTTAAAAAAGCCCTAAAATCCACTAGCTTCCGGGGGCTTTGCCCCCTGGACTACATCCGGTATCGGCTCGGTCGCTACGCTCCCTCGCAACACAGTCACCAAACATACAGATTGGCACTTCAACCACAATAAATGTTTGTTTTGACACTTCTAATAAACTAGTTGAGAAGGCCTGTTTTAGACCATGTTTGTTGATATTTAGTGCCTTTTCAATGTAGGCATGCATTATAATCCAAGATGGCCTCATGTTTTGCATCTTCTCACAAACATGGTCTACAACTCCAAATGACAAAATAATCCCAGCTATGAATTTTTTTAAAGCATTTGATAGCCAAAAACTTGAAAATTTTCAGCAATAATTTTTTTTTTTTTTAAATCCTGCCATTTTTTACGCCAACATCGATATCCAGCGCAGCGTACGTGTAGCTAGTATTGTACGTTCCATGATCCATCCAATACAGCGTACGCATAGTTAGCTAGATATAGAGTGGGGAGCGGGGTATCATTAGAAAACAAATTTTTGTTTACTTTTGCCTTGGATTTAGGCCTGGTTTGACTTTATAATGAAGCCACGGATTTCAGCTGTAGCACAGAGGTGGCACCAATCTAAAGAAACCTTGCATGTACTGCATTCACCACTATAGCACGCTGGGCCGTGTGTTATTTGTATTGTCTCCTAGCCCTCATCTATAATATATCTCAACTTCTCAAGGCTAAACCGTACAAAGTGAAATATACTGGTCAAGTTTGAAATTTTACATCAAATTTATCAAAACAATCATTAAGCAATTCAAACAGTAATATCACAACCGATGTTGTAACGTTAGTCCAGTCGCAACTCGAGAATGTGAAACATTGAATGCGACCTGGGCTGCATTCTGAGGCTGAGCCGAGGCTGAGCATTCCCAGGCTGAGCCTGAGGTTAGACCGAAAGCTTCAGTCTCTATAATCGTCGGTTGTTCCACTGAGACTACGTCTGGCTCCACTAGACCTCCGGTTATAGAGACTGAACGACTGCCTATGCCAGCCTGTGTTGAACTTATTCCGCTAGATTTTAGCCGCTAGGCCCCTCCCACAAACTTGCCACGGCCGTATTGCTATGCCCCCAAAATCCCCCAAAATGTCATTTTACCTCGTTCATTTCCAATTTTAAATTAGGCCTAGGCTATAATACATCGGTTCCACTTACTAACTTGATTGATATAATCCGTTTAATGGTCCCTTTTAAGGAAATTATCGGTCAAAATCGACATCCATGTTGAAAATCTTGCAAGCCGTGTTAAACTCTCGCTGCCGTCAATCTCATCCCTTCTAGTCTACGCCGAAGGCAAATAATTATGAAGGAAAAAACTGTGATAACGCCATTACGAACGTGTAGATGGCGCACAGTTTTTCCTTCATAATCATTTTGCCTTCGGCGTAGACTAGAAGGGATGAGATTGACGGCAGCGAGAGTTTAACACGGCTTGCAAGATTTTCAACATGGATGTCGATTTTGACCGATAATTTCCTTAAAAGGGACCATTAAACGGATTATATCAATCAAGTTAGTAAGTGGAACCGATGTATTATAGCCTAGGCCTAATTTAAAATTGGAAATGAACGAGGTAAAATGACATTTTGGGGGATTTTGGGGGCATAACAATACGGCCGTGGCAAGTTTGTGGGAGGGGCCTAGCGGCTAAAACCTAGCGGAATAAGTTCAACACAGGCTGGCATAGGCAGTCGTTCAGTCTCTATAACCGGAGGTCTAGTGGAGCCAGACGTAGTCTCAGTGGAACAACCGACGATTATAGAGACTGAAGCTTTCGGTCTAAGGTGAGCCTCGGCCTCGCCCTCGAGCCGCACTCCGATTTGAGATGGTCAAAAAAATGTCTAGACTCTAAATAACTAACTCAACTGCAATGCAAAGGCAGGATTTGTAATGTACATTCATCAATGGACTTTGCAGTTTTCCATCAACATAACGAACATCTAATACTAGTGAGACACTGCCCGCGTCTCCTTCACATCACATGCAGTCCCCCAACCCCTCCCATCGCCAAGGCGAATCCCCGCCAGACAACCCCGGAAGTCAACAGGTTTCTGCTGGGTTCACGGGTTCCCATGTCGGACATGAAAATTCGGGATTTAATTCATCATTAAAACACAACAACATTTAACCAGTATCGTAACATGTCTTGAAAAATACATACCCATCTTGTTCAGCTATGCTATTATTACATCCAGTGCGAAGAAGTACAATTTAACTCACAAATTATCCGCAGAAATGTTGTTATTTTGGCATGAATTAATTATGCACATTATTCTGCTCAGATTGCCGATAAGACGAATAACTTTTTTATTAAATATTATTTTATGCATCTAATTACTACCTTAAAAATATTTCAATTGTATTTAAAAATAAAAATAAGTGGTAACTATTACTTAATTATTCAGATTATTTATAATATAGAATTACAAAGTGGCAAATTGGCAAATACTTTAGTCTAGCTTCAAGACAATTTTAATTTAGCTTGGAGGGATAGAAAGCAAAGTAGTTCTGTGCTGAGTCGCGATCAACCATTTATTTTTTCGACCATTTTATATTAGGAGTTGATTGTATACATTCACTTCTTTTATGTATTTATAAGTTTTGGCAATAAGTAAACTCAAACAAATCACGGTAAACTACTACAAAAGAGAGTGCCTGGACATTTTGATAGGATTATGACCGTGGGGGGCGGGGGGGGGGGATGTCCCACCTGCCCCCAAAACAAACAAAAAACAAAAAATATATATATAAATATTTCCAAGGAGCAATGTGACGCTGTGATTTTGTGTGTCACCCCCTATCACCCCCCCCCCCCCCCCCCCTGCATTTAAACGGTCTAGCTGTGCCAGGGAATGACGTGGGGAAAAAGTATACACGATGGTCTTAATTTTCTAATACTTTAATTACACTACATGTAGTCAGGCACGTAGCCACGGGGAGAGGGGGGTACGTGCCCCCCCCCCCCCCCCCCCCCCAAAAAAAAAAAATGCCAAGATCGGCTGAACTTTTTAGACCCCTTTTTTGGATCTCGATCGATTACATGTAAGGTGCCCCCCCCCCCCCCCCCAAAAAAAAAAAAAAAAATATCAAATTCTGGCTACGGGCCTGCATGTAGTGGGTCCATGGCTGATATAGGTGGGCTGAATCAGTCGCGAGTCCCTTTTTTGGCGGCCTACAAAAAACAGGAGGAAAGAGAGAGGCGACAGAAAACAAAAAGGAAGAAAGAGAAGAGAAGGTAAAATAGAAGAAGCTTAGGGTGGGAACGGGGGGGGGGGTTACTACCCTGCGCTATATTGAATGCTCTGAAGAGACTTCGATGGTATGGATACTTCGAGGCTAAGCACTTTATAAGCACCGTTTTTATTTTGTATTTTTGTTATTATTATTAATAGCAAAAACTCGATAGCGTTCGGGATCTCTAGTCCACGAACTCCCTCCTGGGAATAACCCACCGTGAAAGGGCCGACAACCTTTGTTCTATAAAATAGTCATTAAGAGAGAGAGAAAGAGAGGAGAGAGAGAAAGAGAGAGAGAGAGAGAGAGAGAGAGAGAGAGAGAAAGAGGGGAAGAGGGAGATAGGAGAGAGAGAGAGGAGAGAGATAGGAGAGAGAGAGAGAGAGAGAGAGAGATGAGAGAGAGGGAGAGAGAGAGAGAGAGAGAGAGAGGAGAGATATATATATATATATATATATATATATATATATATATTGATTGCAAATGAAATAAAGTAATAAGGGCAGTGCAAATTTCAAGGGATGGATTAGAATTCCTATTGCTCAAAGACAGCCTTTTTGATTTAATGAATATTTTTACTTATCAATACCTTTGAGAAACTGAGTTCATTAATAATCTACCATCGACGCCTGCCCGCGGCCATCGTAGGACATCGAGGGACAACATTATAGACATCCAAATATTAGAACTAGAATACGATTTCTACGGACAACATGTATACCGCCATCTTCAGCTTGTGTAGAGGAACGCCGTTATCCTGAACAAATCAAAACGCCTCCATTAATTAATAATTACAACACTTTTATCCTTCTTTCAGCTGGTGAAAGTGTATGAAATAAATACATAAAGCCTACATTTCTCCGATTTCTCCTACATTTCTCCGGGACACATGTGAAAATAAAAAGGTGCACTTTACCTGAGTTTAAAAAGGGGTATCTATCAAAAGGGGGAAGTGGCACTTCTTACAAAGGAAAATGGACACTTGTCAAAGTAAAAGGGGGTGAAGGACGAACTTATCAAAAGTTAAAAAGGCGCGCTTCTCGTACCTGAAAAGGGGCACTTGACTAGAGATTAAAAAGGGCACTTATGAGAATTGAAAATGGACACTAATTGCAAACGAATATGGGAACTTGTCGATGGATAAGGGGGACGTGTCAAAATAAAAGAGGCACTTATCAGAGGTGAAAAGGAGAATGACACCTTTTAAAAAGTAATAGGGGCACTTGTCAAAGTAAAAGAGGCACTTTCCTATGTAAAAAGGGGCACTTCTTACAAAGTTTAAGGGGCACGTTTAGGGTACTTGAAAAAGTGTGGGGGCATTGTGCTCCCTGTCCCCCTCCCTCCAGAGCGCCGCCTCTGGAGATGTGAAAACATAGTCAGAGCACCAAAAAGGCTGGTAAGAGGGAGAAAGGAGAGGACTCAAAGGAGACTAGAGACTGACATAGAGACTGATAGAGGTATGGTGAAAGATATGGGGTATACTAATAATAAACAACTAAGACGGATAGTGATGTAGTTTTGAAAAGCTAGAAAATACAGGTAGAAAGAATGAAAATGTGGAAAGCGAAAATTATACATTAAGTTTTAGTAGGAAAGAAGGAGAGAGAGAGAGTAAAAAGAATATAAAATATGGGAAAGCAAATTTTATACATAAATATTAATGGGTGGAAAGCGGGGGAGAGACAGAGGGGTGAATGGGGAGGAGACAGAGAAAGAGAGGGAGAGAGAGAGAGAGAGAGAGAGTAGAAAAATGAAAAATATAGGAAAACGAAACTTATACATACAATTAGATGTTAATAGGTCGAAAGATGGATAAAAAGAAGGGAGGGGGAGGAGAGAGAGAGAGAGATTAGAAAGGATGTAAATATAGGAAAGTGAAACTTGTACATCGGTTTTAATATGAGAAAATAAAAAAGAAAGAGGAGGGCGAAGAGAGAGAGAGAGAGAGAGAGAGAAAGAGAGTGGTTACAACTTACCGATGAGCACCTTTTTGTACTTGTCATAACGATGTTGGTTAATATAAAGTTTAGTTAAGGTCTGTTTTTAGATAGTTATGATCTAACGCATCTCTTTATTTCATTATTTCAAAAGGGTTCAGATGCAGTGATTACCTTGCCTTCACAGGTGTAAGGAGAATTTTAGTTACGAGGTTGTTCAGCAGGGTTGGCATTAATTATTATTCTCGGTATAATTACAATAAATATCACCCTCTTGCGCTGAAGTGTCTTACTTTTTTATTCTACCAATGGCTACACTGATTTCTTCAAAGCCAACTTTATATCAATGAATAAATTACTTAATATCACCTTGTTGTGGGCGTTTCGAATCAACATGTCCACCCTCGTGATTCTTTGAGGGGGGGGGGTCGTGATTGTTTGATTACCTCTCGTATACTCGCGTTAAAAACAATTTCTAAAACTGTTTGTAGTATCAACACTGCCACCTAACGATGCAAGTTGTAAGTACGTCAGGCCATGGTCCATGGTCCGACATACGTCATACCTTATTAGTCATCAGTAAATAAAATCAGTTTGTGACTACGTGTAAATTACATTGTACTATAAAAGCTTCACCTGTGTAACTTTCATTACAAGTGGGATCGGAGTTTGAGTTTACGTTTCGGTTCTGATATAATTATATGCCATATTGGTGGTAAGTATCCCTCTAACATTTTTACCTGAACAATGAAACTTGAGTTTATATGCATCCCATCATTGTTACTTTATTTCATATATATATATGTTCGTAAATGTAACATTTCTTTTGAGCTTATCCTTTAACGAGTTAGAGAATGAATCGTTATACGCATGAACTTTGTTGTATTTGTTTCCTTCTGAAATCTGGATCCATATACATGTGAATATTACAAATGTTTTGAAAATAATATCGCTAATGATATTATTTTCGATACTACTTCCGCAATGAGTAATATATTTAGCATTATTACAAATGTTGTTCGCATAGACGTTCTGTTCTCCTTTTCTTATACACTGCGTCCTTTTCGAGCAGCATTGAGCAGTACTTTTCATCATTTTTGGTAATGACTCGCCTCATTAAGGGTTGAACGAAACATACCCCTGAGTGAATAATAATTTTTGCTCCGCGATAAATTTCCGACCCTAACCTTAGTTCAACCGTGTACCCAACATGATTGCATGGCCTAATTATGAAGCAATATTATTGTCGCGGGAGATTACGTAGGATCACCCGGTTTGAGTAAATACACGTTCATATTATGGTATGTTTCACTTTTATATGTTCGTGAATTGTTTCTTTTTTCTTGGGGGGGGGGGTACTTCTTGCTTTACGTCGAGTTTTTGTATCTTTGTTTCTTACTTCGTTGCTTTTATTGTGGTTGTTGGTGTGTGTTTTTTTTTTTTGGGGGGGGGGGTTCAAATGTTTTTCGAGCAAACCGCATAGCTTACATAATTTCGTTCACTTTATTTTACCTACATGCAGGACCGATAATAAACAGCAACATGGCATCAGGCTTTTCGATTTCTGCAGATGATACTAAATGTGAGGGATGCTGCACCGAGGACACGGCTCATGTGTCATACCGAGTAGAAGTCAGACAGAAGCTTTGTGATGGCTGCGCCCATGATAAACAGGGCTCCATCAATACCACCGAGTGGTTCTGCCAGAAACACCTAACGGACAAGGCCAAGATCTACTGCTTGACTCACGATGTCCCTATCTGCGAGGCATGTGCGATCACCATACACAAGTCATCATGCACCCTGGGAGAAATAGAGGACACTCTGAAAGATAGGAAAGATGACTTGGTTCGTTTGATCGAGGCGAGTAAGACAAATGAAGAAACGTTTAGCCATCAAATGAAATCAGTCGATGAGGAACTTGGAGGACTAGAGCAGCATTTTGCAAAGGAGGAGGAGAAACTGAGACTGGCTTATGAAAGAGAAGAGAAGAAGCTCAAGGAATCATTCGGAAATCATCAGCGAAAACTGAAGGAGGTATCCACCAGGCTTCGTGACATGACCGAATGCCTTCGGGATCAACCTAAGAAGAAATGCAAAGGCCTGGTTGAGATGCGGACACGGGCTGAAGAACTGTTGACGAACAAGAGCGATCTGATGAGGGACTTTCAGGAGATCAATAACTCCCTGACATGTTTGACAAACCAGAGTAATCCAGATATTAACGTGAAGGTTGTTATGAAGAGGGTTATGGGTGTGGCCAAGAAGGTTTCCTTTACGGAAACTGATAGTCATGGGATCGGAACCATTGAGGCTCCAGTCGAAACCTGGGTCCCAAACGATGAATACAACCCAGAAATCGGAAAACTGTCCTACATGATGGGTGCGATCAGCGGGACTGAAGTAGTCATAAAAGACAATGAAAAGCACTCTATCTATATCGTCAATGTAGAGGCTAAAACAAAGAAAAAGGTGATCAAAAGTAACAGTCCATACGACTTATGGCGATGTGTGCCACTGAAGGACGTACGTCGTAGAATCGTGTGTGGATCCAATGATGGTGAGGTCATCATTTGTGATCGCTCTTGGAAAGCACTCACAGTCATCAGAGTAGCTGAAAGTTCTTCTGTATGCGTTGCTGTCAACACAGATGGTTTGATCCTCGCCAACGCTATCGGCTCTGGAACGATCGGGATCTACGACCCTGCTGACGGTAAACTACTTAGATCAATCGTGAAAAAGACTCCGATATATGACATGTGCGCTCTAGCATCGGGACAAATCGTGATCCTTAACGAGTGCGTCGAAGGCATCGACGTTACTGTCTTGGACGATTCGGGCGAGATCCTTGCTTCCAAGCACTGTCACGGCGAGGGAATCAAAAGCCTTGTTGTCGACCGCGGACACGATTTGATCTACCTTCTCTCGTGGGATCGTCACCATTCCGATTACAAGGTCTGTGTGTTGTCCACTTCAGCTGAGTTTGTTGCAGAACGAGTTGCTGAATGTGAGCCATCGTTCTGCAGTCCAAGCTACGCCATTCCTAGACCTGACAGAATGGTTATTTACACCGATGGAAAGTTACTCACCTTCAGAAAGACTAACAGAGGATTACACCAACTGCTTGCTGAGATTAAACTGAAAGAAGGAGCTGTATGACAACCTAGCCCTATTAGATGAACAATTGTTGATACAGTATTATTTGGTGAAATAACATCTCGATCCGCCTTCTACAGTAATGTTGTAAAGTTGAGAATATATGGTAGCTTATTTACTAGTGCCAGATTGGTCCGCGTTACAATGTAGGCTAACATAACTTAGGTGCAATGTAAACGATAATGGAAAACAATCAAACTGTGAGTAAAATAGTTAATCTTTTTGTTAATGAATTACAGAAACATTCTGGGGACTAAGCGTCTTTACACTTTACAAATATTATGCACCATTCAGACAATTCTCCTTATACGTCGATTTACTTTTATCGTTCTGGAAGTTAATATTTAGAATATCATTATGTAGCTGAAATCACGTAATGTACTTATTGGTCGTATAAGTCGTGTACATGATGTGATGTGTTTATTAAACTTTATTGATGTACATCAATATTCTGTTTATAAACATAAATCAATTTACAATTTAATGTAACAAATTAATATTCTGTTCGGAATCATAAATATCATACAAATCAATTTACAATGTAATGTAACAAATCAATGTTTTGTTTGTAAACATATATACAAATCAATTTACAATACAGTGTATATAGCAAAACAGAAGGAAAGTTATATCCAGCAGAAACACTTTTTTTTGTGTGTAATAACATGACATACAATGCATGAAGTAAATAATATAATGTACCATAATACATCTGAAAATTTAGATATATGAAACCTAATATATGTTTACTAAACAGACATATTTAATTTAATTATCAATTGTATTTCATAAACAAGTTTTCAGATATGGCTGAACATCACTAACATCTTTTGGCAAGAAATTTGGAACAACTAACTTTAAATGTCAAAAACTGTCAGATTGTCAACCAATTCAATATGCTTACGGTTACGCCATGTGAAAGGGGGAGCATATTTTCATTAACATTATTATCGTTATTCTTATCAGTACAATTATAATTATATTATCATACTTGACAATATCATTATTATCAATATCATTATGATTATTCACAATATTTTTATTTTCATTATGTACAATATTAACAAGTACACCACACTTTCCCTGTGCCTTACCTCCACTGGCAGTTTGTTATTAATTGGAATGGACAGCTTTCTTTGATGAAGCAAATAAGATTCCACATGAGATTTAATTAAACTAAACTTGTAACATGAAATGTGCTGGAACACAATGTAATGTAAAGTCAATGAGCAATAATCCAAGATATCTATGTATATATGGTGTATATTTGTACATAGTTATATTTGCTTCATTTACCCGTGTAGTGTAAGAGTTGAGGATTTTTAAAAGCTTTTATATTTCGATATAATATATTAACGAAAGGCATGTTATTTCATTTAAATGTTGTTATAGTCCTTCGTTTCATGTCTCCTTATCTACGAAATGTTCATACTTGATTGTTTATGTCATGCTGTATGATAATGATGTGTAGGCTAACTCAAGTGAAGGCTTTTCATTTTCCATCATTTTCATAAGGATTCTCATGCTCATTGTTAAGAATCTTATTATATCAACCTAATTTAAGACAAAACATTAACTTTTTACTCAGTGTGATTTCTGCGAAATATACTAGGGTGTCATGACATCCTGGTTTACACGTGATCAAGCATTAAAGATGAGCTCAAACTCCTCATACCCTTACTTATTACCATGTATATACTACGTACATTTTGTGCTACGCACTTTCGAGTTTCTGACAGGCTGATGGGTTCAAATATGTTCCCACCTCACACGAGTCACACGACCGCAAAATTAAAGTCTTCATCTAGGAATCAACCTAACATGTTGCCTTATGTGATAATTGTATATGATGGAGTATTGTTTGTATGTATGACATAATGGCCCGAATTCACAAAGGAGGTTTGTCGACAAACCTTGGTTTTCGTACGTCATATGACGCGTTTTACGCGTTTTTTTACAAACCTGGTTTGTAAAGAACAAAAGGAGGTTTGAGCTCAAACCTTGGTCTGAGCTCAAACCTTGCTTTGTGAATTCGGGCCTCTATGTCTGTTTGTTTAAAGGCGTGATGAGAACGATACCAATACATGGTGATATAGAAATCATATTCATGAGAGTAATATCATACAAACAAATCTGTCTATTCAGAGATTCGTTATGTTTATGATTTCTTTTCACATTTTTAAGGCTCTCTGCATGATCAAATGTTAAATTACGTGTGTTTATGTATTAGATTTATCTTTCATTTCCATGAAGAAGAAAACAATACGTAGGTCATCATATAGTAGAGTCTGACCACTTTCTGTGTTTGCCTTTAAACATTGGTTATTACTAATAGAATGAGAAGCAACCTTTGTGATCTAGTCTTCCGCTGTAAGAGGAACAGGAGCTTCCTGTTCTAGGGACAACCCCGGGGACAACCATAAAGGGTAGCAGTGCGCCTGCGCCATCTGAGGACTGAGGTCATCTTCTAAATAAAACCTGAAAGTTCAGCATATACCTTGCAATTATAGTTACATGAGCATAATTCTTTTTCTTTTGTCATAATAATAATAATGGGTGGGAGGGGGGGTGAGCAAATGCAAATTGTGTTCTAGTGTTCAGAACACTCTTTCAAGATGTTACAGGGGTACTTGCGGTTCTTTTTTCTTTGCTATCTTGTATTGCAGTAAATATGACTGCACCACCTAATGTAAGTTTCGAAATAAAACCTTTAGAATAGATATATTAGTATACCACAACAAATTGATCAAATTGTCCGAAGTTACAATGTCTAGGCTGACAAAATATCTTGATTTTTTTCTCTATTATGATTTAGGGAAAGGGGTGGGAGGGGGTGGGGGGTTGACTGAGGTATCCGTGCCTCCTTTGTCTTTGAAAACCTGTTATTTTGTATTGCATATTAAAGTATTTATATTTTCCGTACACGCTACTATCTGTAAATAAGTAATCGCTCTCTAAAATTCATCGATATAACTTTCATTTTTACAGGAGTTGGGGATCAATAGGGACTTTTAGATTTGCCCTTCGACATAGTGGACTGCTACATGTGACGTCCTTTTAAGGCACTAGCAGTGAAAAGGAAGTCACGTGCCTTAAAAGGACGCCACATAGCAGCAGGCGCGGATCCAGGATTTCTTAGGGGAGGGGGCCCAATTTTTTTTTTTTATTTTGCTCCCGGAAATTTGAAAATCGCGCCGGCCGAAATGTCGCTCAGTGGGGGGGGGGGGGGGGGGGGGGGGGGGGTACAGAGCACAATTTTTTTTTTTTTTTTTTTTTTTTTTTTGCTCCCGAAAATTTGAAAAACGCGCCGGCCAAAAATTCGCTCAGTGGGGGGGGGGGGGGGGGGGGGGGGATGGGAGGGGGGGGGGGGGGGGGGGGGGGGTAGTGAGCACATTTTTTTTTTTTGATCCTCAAAAAAATTTCAATTTGCACCCCCCCCCCCCCCCTTGGCGCCAGGGGGGGGGGGGGCAACCCCAAAAAAAGGTAAAAATCACGTGATTTTGCATGATTTTTTTCTCAAGGGGGGGGGCCCGGGCTCCTCGGGCCCCCCCCCCCCCCCCTGGATCCGCCACTGCATAGCAGTTCACCATGTCGACGTCCAAATATAATGTCCCTAAAGTTTACCATCTCTACTGCGACTTGTAAAGTCTATATCATTCGCGTTTAACAGTGACATTGTTACTCTTAACATTGTATCGCGATATTGAGTTAGATTACATTGAAATGAATAATCCGTTTTTATGGCACATAATTTCTCACATATCAGTTTCGCTGTAAAAGCCAAAACATATCCAAATATTTCATTCATAGGAAGAAAATTATGTACTTCTAATGTGCTTTGGAAATTGTTACCATGGATTTCAGCTCCGACAGATTAAATTCTGTCACGTAGTCATGGAACATCTGGATCGATATGCAGACCAATGCCGGGACTCGAACCTGCAACCTTTGCATCACAGGTCAAGTGTTACATTTTTTGGTAGGCTATTATCACATACGAAATCAAAGTGTTCAAAGAGCTGAAATAATGATGATTGGTCAAAACTTCCGAGTGCAATGCATACAGTTTCTTTTAGTGTTTTAAAAATAAAAAGTGGCATGTGCGTTTTCTATACAAAATACATGGCTGGAAAGCGGCAATGTAAATGTCCATTGTTATTATTTAATGTTGAACGCTCAGTAATAATGGCAATATTATTGTTAGAAGCTTGATTACCATTTGCCAGTTGGTTTATGTGCATTTGCTATTCCAAGGAGTTATAACTCATTGGCTATTCTAAACGTTAAATACCAGGCACTTATTCTTTTTTATGAGATCACTGAGTAAATAGGTCTATCTGACCAGGCTAATATTTCAGGAGCTGTTGGATGAATTAATATTGCATGTACGTGATTGTATGACAAGGCTTAGCTCGTAAATAATTAAGCCCATGTAACATTAAAAGGATATGATACGGGTGCCGCGAGTGCCCTAGTCTACCATCAAATGGTTCTGCGTGAGTGAATTATGGGCATTTGACAAGATTGAATAGCAATTTGCAACACAGAGCAATATCGCCATCTAGTGGTGTTTTACTGGCAATAAAAAATATGAATTTTACAATAATTGTACAACATAGAAGAAATCATCTATCTCGGGTGAACTTGCTGCAGATATATCAGTTGACTAGTTGCGCCACTGGCAGATTCACCAAAGTAGCAAAATTACCACATTCGTCTTTACATTATTCTTCTACATGTTTTGTGAGATAGGCGAGTTTTGAATCACATGTACATATAGGCCTACATGAGTAAGTATAAGCAACTTTCAAGATGAAGTATTATTTAAGTACTAAATACAAATGTTTCATTTTTAAAACAATGTATTACGCTAATGAGGTTACATTATAACTACAAATGATGATAAAGGGGTTTGGAGCAGAAAGCAAACTGGAGAAAGTTGCCAACCAGGCTACAAGATTACTTTTAATGACCCGGATTTTTTTTTATGGGATTAATACTATCTTCTCTGGGAACTTATCATAGGCTTGACTTTCCTTCCAGGTTGCAATATTCTCGTAGAGATGCTAGTATTTATGTGCACTAGCTGTGCAGTGTACTTGATTGTCCTCGGGCAAGTGGTATACAAGTCATGTATAGATGATCAGGGTTATAGTGCGAGTAGGTGCATTTAGGTATGCATTCAGACACTTATCGAACACATATCTACTGGGTGAAGAAAATTTTGAGCAACATCTTTGATTTTTATTCTTTTTAGCTGCCTATTAAAGGAAAGGGACACAACGATCTGTAAATATGGCGTCTGGATTTTCAACTGAAAATGAGAGCAAATGTGAGGGTTGCCTTGCCTTTGGCAAAGCCCATGTCTGCTACAGGATGGAGGTCAGACAACAATTATGTGACGACTGTGCACAACTAAACGGACATCTGATCAAGGAAGATAATGTGAGACAGTGGTACTGCACGAAGCATCTCCAAGAATCCGCCAAGATGTTCTGTACAACCCATGATGTCTTAGTCTGTGAGACATGTGCCTCGACGGAACATCGAAAGGAGTGCAGTTTGCAGGACGTAGTCGATACAGTTGTGGATCGCAAAGAAGAGTTAGCATTCCTCATTGAAGAAGGGAAGAATAGGGAAGAAGAAATGCTGGAAAGAAGCAGAGTCATCAAAGACCGGGTGGCAAAAATAAAAGAGCATTATGCTAAGGAGGAGAGACGACTGAAGAAGGCATATGCGGACGAAATGAAGAAACTAACAGATAGGTTTGGATTGCTGATGAGAGAGCTGAAAGAAGGATCCGTCGTCGTTCGCGAGAAAGTGGACAAACAGATGGTTGACGCAGACAAGGTCTGCAAAGACATGGTCGAGATCCACACAAATGCAAAAGAAATGATGAATAATGACGAACTGTTGATGAATGAGTTCACCAACTTTACCCGACTATGTTGTGGCAAGTTCGAGGGGAAAATCAATATCAGCGAATCGGATCGTGCCTTGCAAGTTGCCAAGATGGTGAACTTTGAGAGAGAAGAAGGTCAGAGAATAGGAGAGATAAACATGCCTGTGGAGACGTGGGAGGTCGAGCGGAAATTCCGTGTGGGTCAGAAGGCGTTTTCCTGCATGATAGGGTCAAGCAGCAGCAATGAGGTAGTCATCAAGGATAACCACGATGCTTCTGTTCATTTGCTAAGTTTTCGTGATGGCAAGGAGAAGAGAGTCATTGAGAGCAAGAATTCTCATGACATGTATAAGTGCAGTTTTCTTAATGACGGGCGAATCGTAGGTGGTTCCTGTGATGGAGATGTCGTTATCTTTGACCAGACGTGGAAGCATATTAGGACAATTAGCGTGGTTCTCTCACCGAGCGCTCGAGTTTCAGTTTCCGTGGACGGCGACGGCAACATCCTCGCCTCTGCCCTAGGTCAGTCTTCCATCTGCGTCATCAACCCACATAACGGGGAGATTGTGAGATCGCTTACCGTCGCCAACAAGGCGATATACGAGGTTCATGCAATGGCAAACAACAACATTGCCATTCGCACCAAGTGTTCTAAAGGCCAAGACGTATGTGTCCTAAACCAAGATGGTGTGGTCATTTCCACTGTCCATCTTCACACCAAGGACATGAGAAGCATGGCCGTAGACAGGTCAAGAGATGTGCTTTATGTAATGTATCAAGTTTCCCCGCTTAACTTTGCCATCGATGTGATGACGTTCGGACGTTCTGCAGGATCAAAGAAAATTGTTGACTGTTCGAAAACTCCGTTTAGTCCAAACTTTGTTCTCCCGGGAAATGCTAGGCTTGTGGTTCACAGTGAGGGAAAAGTCCTCGTTTACAGGAAAACTAACCGCGGTCTCGGTGAACTCCTGACTGACTCGGTATCATGTTAGAAAGACTGATCACGCATTCCTCCCTTAACGTGGTACTTAATTGTTCAAACAAGAAATATTTGAGACAGAAGTGTACTTGTTGTAAATAGTACTGTATATAAGCATAATCAAAATGAATCATAACGTAAGTCCATGGTATTGTCCCCTACGTCAAAAAGCAAATATCAGCTTTTTAAATCATCAGATATATGTACTTAAAAAGTACATACCTGATAATTGTGTTAGGTTAGAAGCCCCACTAGTTTTTTTGTACAGACCAATCTGAAAAAAGACACTTTTGATGTCAAAATATGTTCAGAACCTTGTTGCGTATAGGGGACTCTAATTACCAAATAAATTATTGGACTAGTATTATCGTAATTCGTAAGTGCTTTTACAATTAAATGGTACATCACTCCTTTTTAGTTTGTTATTTTATGGGGTGTCCATTATGATGCAGTGGATCTGGTATGTACATCCACTCTCCTCCCCCTGCATAGGGTGACACTCATAAAGTGTCTTATTTTTTTATTGAAGATGACGTCCCATCTTTAGAGGTGATATTAATCAACTATCTTTTTTAGTAAGTCGTCATGTACATGGAATTCTTGCTAGCGACATCCAGTAAATGCTTTTGTTGCGGATAAGTTTACCATTTTTTCTCAACTGGATGGTGTAGTTACTGGGGTAAAAACCTTTTCTTTATATGTACGAGTTGTGAGCATCCGTCAAGCCATTCTAAAACATTCTCCAGTGTGTTTTTTAATAACATTTTGATTGTGTGTTTTCTATCTTCTCAAACACGAATCGTAAAACATAACATTCAAACAATAAGTTTCAGGTTACCATGGGATTTTTCAGTGGTATTGAAATAATATCTGTTTTTATATAGTTAGAACATGGTTAAAAAAAACGGCCCCGAATATCCACATATCTTTCATTACATGGATCTTTAACATTGTATGCCTTTTAGAATATTCATGCAAGAGTGGCGAATATGCTTAATAAATACCTTTCGTTTTGACTTTAAAAAAAAAAAAATCCTTTTTTTTGTTTTGTGAGTTATACAATTTGATATAAATCGGCCTTACGTCATTTGCCTATTAATTATTTTGGTTTTTATCCGGTACTTAAACCAAATTAAAAGATTAAATGTAGACAAAAAAATGTCACATTCTAAGAATATATATATTGCTCAACACCCAAGTTTTATTAATGAGAGGTAGGCAAATTTTACCCTTTTACTGCCTGCCATATTGCATTAGAAGTCTGAATCTTTTTCTGTTTATAGGAATGTGGAGCGTGTTTTTTTTCCTCTCGTAATCTCACATTATCTATTATTATCTTGCAAATGATTTCAGCATATTTATAACTTTTTAATTGCCAAAATGTTGGTTTCAACTTTTATGGCGTATGTGTGAGCATTCATTTTATTCCTTAAGAATATTTAGCTTTGGTGAGATTTTTTTAAGCAGTGATTTATTTACGTTTCTAAAAACGCTATGGTCAACGACACGTAGCCTAAATCATGTATTTTTAGAAAGTATCTAATAATAGTCAATACAGTACATGCAGTTTCTACATTCGTTTTAGAGTTATGCATTCTGTCACGTATAGTACGTATTATCATATAGTTAAGAGGGCAAGCTATCGTCCCAAAGATCAGTTTGAGATCCGTTCAGGCCTGTGTGGAGCTTCCTCTGTATATCCTATCTCATATATCACCTCTGAAACACAATGTATCTCTCAAAACATTACATGTTACACCTTTTCCTTCCTATTCAGGTCGCTACTACTTTCCCCGGCATTAAAACAAACCCATCATGATCAAACCAGGGCTAAGTTTCTTAAAAACTGAGTTCGAATAACAATGCCATCAAATATATGACAAATCTGCTAACTGTTAATTACAGGTTACAATTTTGTGAATATGTATCAATAAAATATATCTGGATTATCGTCTACACTTCAAAACTACGTAATTAAAAATGTGGAAATTCTCATTGCTATTAAACATGCACTATCAATGTAAACACCCATGTTCACAGTGAGCACTTTAAAACACGAGAGAAAGAAAGAACGCAAGGGAGTCGGAGAGAGAAGGAGAGAGAGAGAGAGAGAGAGACATAGACAGACAGAGCGAAAGAGAGGGAGCAGGGAGATGTAGAAAGACAGGTAGGGCCGGAAACTTTCCCTGCCTTTTAGGACGGGGTAAGATTAAAGGGCCCATGACATCAAAATACAAGTCTATTCATGTTGGTGTGCCGTCCTGCGTACATCTCATATTTTGATACGTAAACTTCTGAATTTGTTTCATAGTTTTTTTTAATTATTTTTGAAATATTTGTTTTTCAAACTTGCTAAGCTCCATCCCAAAACCTCCAGATATCATTCCCCTTGTGACATCATCTGTCAGTCATCAATGAGCTAACTTGAGAAAGTGGTATGTATCTTTGCCGAAGTCGACCAGGACTGCACACCAACAGGAATACACTCGTATGTCAATGTCATGGGCCCTTTAAGAGACACCTTTCATATGTTACCTTCACCTGACCACATGCACTTCATACTCCATGGATATTTACCCATTCTCTGCAAGTGTATCCTTAATCCTCGTACACCTTCATTCATCTTCGTCTACCTCACATCCCCGTACATCTTCACCCAACCTCGATCGTACACATCACACCCTCAAACGTCACACTCTCGTACACCTTCCCCCATGTCCCCTATGTTTATCGATCTCACCGTCCTTATACACCTTCACGTATCCTCATACATCCTTACCACACACCTTCGCCCACCCTAATTCACCCTACACACTTATACACTTTCACGAAGCCTGGTGCACATTCAGGAACCCGCTCACATACATCCATCCACCCTAAAACACCTTCACCATGACACGCCCATCCACCTCTCATCTTCATCCACCCTCATTCACCTTCGCAAACCCTCATACACCTTCCCCACACACCCATCCACCTCACACCTTCACCCACCCTCGTACACCTTCATAAACCCTCATACACCTCAACCCACCCTCATACACCTTCCCACACACCTATCCACCTCACATCTTCACCCACCCTCATTTACCTTATACCCTCGTACGCCTTCATAAACCCTCATACACCTCCAAAACACACCAATCCACCCTCATTCACCCTACACCCTCGTACATCTCAACCCACCCTCACACACCTTCCCCACACACCCATCCACGTCACATTGCACACCCATCTGCCTCAGACCTCCACCCTACACCCTCATCCACCTTCATGAACACTCGTACACCTCCACCACCCCCATCCACCTCACACCTCCACCCACCCTCATACACCTTCGCCCACCCTCATACAACTCACACCTCCACCCACCCTCATACAACTCACACCTCCACCCACCCTCATACACCTTCACCACACGCCCATCTACCTCACACCTTCACCCACCCTCATTATCTCCCACCCTCGTACACCTTCATAAACCCTCATACACCTCAACCCACCCTCATACACCTTCCCCACACACCTATCCACCTCACATCTTCACCCACCCTCATTTACCTTATACCCTCGTACGCCTTCATAAACCCTCATACACCTCCAAAACACACCTCATTCACCCTACACCCTCGTACACCTCAACCCACAATCATACACCTTCCCCACACACCCATCCACGTCACATTGCACACCCATCTGCCTCAGACCTCCACCCCACACCCTCATACACCTTCACGAACACTCGTACACCTCCATCCACCCCCATCCACCTCACACCTCCACCCACCTTCACCCATCCTCATACACCTCTACCCACCCTCATACACCTTCGCCCACCCTCATTCAACTCACATCTTCACCTACCCTCATACACCTTCACCACACATCCATCCACCTGAACCACACACCCGTCCACCTCATACCTCCACCCACCCTCATACACCTTCACCACACATCCATCTACCTCACACCTTCACCCACCTGCATATACCTCAACCCACCCTCATACACCTTCACCACACATCCATCCACCTCACACCTCTACCCCCCCCCCCATACACCCTCACCCACCCTCATACACCTTCACCACACATCCATCCACCTCACACCTCCATCCCCTCATACACCTTCACCCACCCTCATACACCTTCACCCACCATCATACACCTTCACCACACATCCATCCACCTCACACCTCCACCCCTCATACACCTTCACCCATCCTCATACACCTTCACCCACCCTCATACACCTCCACCCACCCTCTAAAACTTTCACCACACACCCATTTACCTCACACCTTCACCCACCCGCATATACCTCCACCCACCCTCATTAACCTTCACCACACACCCATCCACCTCCACCCACCCTCATACACCTTCACCCATCCTCATACACCTCCAACCCTCATACACCTTCACCACACATCCATCCACTTTCACCCACCCTCATCCACCTCACACCTTTACCCACCCTCATACACCTCCACCCACCCTCATACACCTTCACCCACCCTCATACTCCTCACATCTTCACCCACCCTCATACACCTTCACTACACATCCATCCACCTTCACCACACACCCATCCACCTCACACCTCCACCCACCCTCATACACCTTCACCACCCACCCTCATACACCTTCACCACACACCCATCCACCCACCCTCATACACCTTCGCCACACATCCATCCACCTCTACCCACCCTCATACACCTTCACCCACTCGCATACCCCTTCACCACACACCCATCCACCTCACACCTTTACCCACCCTCATACACCTTCACCCACCCTCATACACCTTCACCACACACCCATCCAACTCACACCTCCACCCACCCTCATACACCTCCACCCACTCTCATACACCTTCACCCACCCTCATACACCTCACATCTTCACCCACCCTCATACACCTTCACCACACATCCATCCACCTTCACCACACACCCATCCACCTCACACCTCCACCCACCCTCATACACCTTCACCACACACCCATCCAACTCACACCTCCACCCACCCTCATACACCTTCACCACACACCCATCCACCACCACCCACCCTCATACACCTGCACCACACACCCATCCACCTCACACCTCCATCCACCCTCTTACACCTTCACCCACCATCATACACCTCACATCTTCACCCACCCTTATACACCTTCACCACACACCTCAACCCACCCTCATACACCTTCACCACACACCTTCACCCACCCGCATACACCTCCACCCACCCTTATACACCTTCACCACACACCCATCCACCTCACACCTCCACCCACCCTCATACACCTTTACCACCTACCCATCCACCTCACATCTCCACCCACCCTCATACACCTTCGCCACACATCCATCCACCTCACACACCTTCACGAACCCTCATACACCTCCACCCACCCTCATACACATTTCACGCACCCTCAATTGAAAAGTGAATTTACCCCTCGTTTATATTCAATATCATTAGTTATATGATGTCACTTTAATGAACAAACTTTTGTTTTTTAATTGGAAATAAAAATAACATATGATTCCCTTTAAGGTGTTCATTTTAAGGTGAATTAAGAGGTAAGATTTATGTACAAATCTTTAAATACATCCAGAAGAATGAAAAGTTTGGATTTCCAGTGTACTTGTTTGTTATTATTTATTTGATACACAAAAGACAAGGAATATTTAAAAAATTATTAAAAAACATCACAAAACAAATCAAAGCAACTGAATAAACATATATACAATGGAACTTGAACAAAAAAACATGGACTTTAAAGCCATGGGTATGACAACTATGAACTGAAGGGGACGTAATATCACGAAAGTAAAATAGAGATGGAGTAACATTCGGAACCCTGAAAACATTTTTAGCAGGTGCATTTGTGTTCTCATACCCCTAATAAGGTCACATTTCTGTACAGATCTTGTGTCATATTCAGAACATTGATATGCCTTTTTTTCCCTAGTATGACCGGTCATGTGTCTCACGAGGCGAGATTTCAAGGTAAATATCTTATTACACTCTAAATAAAGATAAGGCTTTTCTCTACAGTGTAAAACCTAAGGTGTCTACTGAGATCATATTTCAAAGTAAATATCTAATAATAATACTACTACTAACAATAGTCACAGTTGTATGGTGCTTAGTACTAATGGTCTATTGTTTACAAGATAATTCTGAATTTTAGCTATTTTAAAACATCAATCCCACACAACACCTGTACAAGCCTTTTTTTAAATCGGTTGAGATTTGTTAGACTTGCAAGCTACATCGAGAGCTCCGATATTGTTATTTTCCATTATGTATAAGCAGGTGCTTAGTAAGGCTAGTCTTAAATGAAAATCTCTTATTACACTGAGGACAGTGATAAGGTTTTTCTCCAGTGTGTATAACCATATGCTGAGATAGGTAACTATTAGTGGCAAATGTCTTACCACACACAGTACACAAGCAAGACTTTTCACCAGTATGTGTTTTGAAATGTCTTAACAGTTTATATTTAAATTCATATTGTTTGTTACACTCTGAACATGGATAAGGCTTTTCTTTAGCATGTTGCAACATGTGCCTTGTAAGGTTACCTTCAACAGCAAATGCTTTCTTACACTCAGAGCATTGATAAGGTATTTCTCCAGTATGTTGCAGCATGTGTTCTTCTAAGGGGCGTTTAGTACAAAATCCCTTCCCACACACAGAACACAAATATGGCTTCTCACCCGTATGAGTTCTCATGTGTCTTTTCAGGTACAATTTGGACTTAAATGTCTTGTTACACTCTACACATTGGTGAGGCTTTTCACCTGAATGTACAAGCATATGGTAAGCAAGACTACACTTCTTCGCAAATCGCTTACCACACTTATCACAGGAATGAGGCTTTTCACCCGTGTGTGTTCTTATATGTCTTTTCAGTCGACATTTTGTCGGAAATTTTTTGTTACACTCTGAACAATTAAAAGGAATTTGCCCAACGTGATGTAGCATATGCTTTGTGAGTTTGCTTTGAACAGTAAACCGTTTATAACACTTTGGACAATGAATAAAAATTGCATCCGAATGTGTTAGCATATGGTCAGCAAGATTACTCGTGCTCGCAACTTGTTTACTACACACAGTACAGGAATAAGGCTTTTCCCCAGTGTGTGTTTGAAAATGCCTCTTCAATCGACATCTTGAAGGAAATTTCTTATTACACTCTGAACACTGATGAGACGTTTCTCTGTTATGTATGAACATGTGTTCAACAAGCTTAGATTTGTCACTGAAGACCTTATTACACACAAGGCATTGATGGGGTGTCCTTTCCATGTGTCGCCTTAAATGTTCTGTCATTTGGAATTCTAATGAAAATTTCTTGTTACAATCTGGACATTGAAAAGGCATTTCATCTGAGTGTATAAGCATGTGTTCAGCGAGGTTACGCATGTTGGCAAGTTGTTTACTACATACAGCGCAAGAATAAGGCTTTTTGCTAGTGTGTGTTTGAAAATGCCTCTTCAATCGACATCTTGAAGGAAATTTCTTATTACACTCTGAACACTGATGAGATGTTTCTCCGGTATGTATAAACATGTGTTCAACAAGCTTAGATTTGTCACTGAAGACCTTATTACACACAAGGCATTGATGGGGTGTCCTTCCCATATGTCGCCTTAAATGTTCTGTCAGTTGAAATTCTAATGGAAATTTCTTGTTACAATCTGGACATTGAAAAGGCATTTCATCTGAATGTATAAGCATGTGTTCAGCGAGGTTACGCATGTTGGCAAGTTGTTTACTACATACAGCGCAAGAATAAGGCTTTTTGCTAGTGTGTGTTTGAAAATGCCTCTTCAATCGACATCTTGAAGGAAATTTCTTATTACACTCTGAACACTGATGAGATGTTTCTCCGGTATGTATAAACATGTGTTCAACAAGCTTAGATTTGTCACTGAAGACCTTATTACACACAAGGCATTGATGGGGTGTCCTTTCCATGTGTCGCCTTAAATGTTCTGTCATTTGGAATTCTAATGGAAATTTCGTGTTACAATCTGGACATTGAAAAGGCATTTCATCTGAATGTGTAAGCATATGGCCTGCAAGGTTACGCTTGTTGGCAAGTCGTTTACTACATACAGCGCATGAATAAGGTTTTTCCCCAGTGTGTGTTAAAACATGTCTCTTCAGTCGATGTCTTGTAGGAAATTTCTTGTTACACTCTGAACATTGATGAGGCATTTCCATTGAGGAAATGATCACAGAGGGTATGTCGTCACAGTTAATGGAAGATTTTTCGTCATCCCTACATTCAAGTCTTTCGGCACCAAATTTCTGCAGACGTTTCTCATTTAGAATACTGTCTCTTGGGATAGAGTTGATTGCACGGTCACAACTACCTTCTATATTGGTGTGTGAAGTATTCTGGTCCTCTGAGTCTGCTTCCTTAATATTATTCCTACATTCAACTCTTAAGCTATCATTTTCTTCTGGACATTTCTCACTTTGAATGCTGTTACTTGAGTCAGAATTGATTGTACAGTCACAACTACCTTCTACATTGGTGTGTGAAGTATTCTGGTCCTCTGAGTCTGCATGAGGACTTCTTAACTGTAACTCATTTTCCAAACTTTGACGCACGTTACTAGGACTGCAGATGGAGCCTGCAAATGATATAGAAAGTATCAGATTAAAGTCATTAAAAAAATATTACAACATTATTGGTCAACAGTTTATCAACCTTCTTTTCACAGCTACTTCATTCAGTTGTGTTAAAACAGGCTTTAACTCGGACAACAAATGTCATTTGTCACTTATACATGTACATCTTGCTCTACTTGACCTTGAGCCATGCTTATATAAAATTTTATTTCTAGTTTAAAAGAAATCTAACCTGACTAGACAATTACTGAAGCAAAAAATTACAGAAGCAGAATGGTGAACATTTGGATGTAATCAGACAAAACAATAATATGAAATTTTAAAGTTGCGATCAATATATGCATGGGCACTTCAAATTGGTTGAATAGGTAATGTCACTGTGACGTAGTACCAGAAAACTCAGTAGACTAATAAGGTTTTTCTTCACGATGTCCTAACATGTGCTATGTAAGAAAAGGTTTACCACAAAAGACCTTTACACACTGATAACATTGATGAAGCTATTCATAGCTTAGTATGTGTTTTCATATGAGGTTGAAGGGTACGTTTTAAAGAAAATCTTTTGTCACACTGTAAGCATGGATAAGGCTTTTCTCCAGTGTGTACCAGATTATGCTTTGAGATATTTCCTTTGGAAGCAAATCTTCGACCACATTCTGAGCATGAATAAGGCTGTTCACCAGTGTGTGTTCTTATATGTGATATCAGAGTTTCTTTTTGTCTAAATTTCTTATCACACTCGTCACATTGATAGGGCATCTCTCCAGTATGAATCATCATGTGCCTTTTAAGGTTCGACTAAAATGTAAAGTCCCTAATACACTCAGAACATTGATAAGGCCTTTCACCGGTGTGAGTTCTGACATGTTTCTTAAGGTAATACTTCGAATCGAACCCTTGATCACAATGAGAGCATTGGGCATGCTTCACTCCAGTATGTAGCTTCTTGTGTGTATCGAGATCTCCTTTATTAGCATATGTTTTTTTACATTCAGAACATTCATAACGCTTTTCACCGTTATGCGTTAGCATGTGTTTATTGAGGCTACTTTTAGTAGCACTTCTCTTACCGCATTCAGGACATTGATAAGGCTTTTCACCAGTATGTACCATCATGTGAGTTTTAAGGTGTGATTTTGAAACAAATTTCTTGCTACATTGAGGACATTGTTGAGTCCATTCCCTGTGGAATCGTATAGTGTGATTAGCAAGGCTACCTATGTCGGTAAATCTTTCACCACAAAAAGAACAGAGAAAGGGCTTTTCACCAGAGTGCATTCTTCAATGGATTTTCAGATCAGATGATGATCTGTATTTCTTATTACACTCAGAACATGAATGAGGTTTTTCACCAGTATGTGTTAGCATGTGTTTATTGAGGTTACTTTTAGTGGCACTTTTCTTACTGCATTCAGGACATTGATAAGGCTTTTCATCAGTACATGTATGTGTTAGCATGTGTACATTGAGCCTACTTTTAGTAGCACATCTCTTACTACATTCAGGACATTGATAAGGCTTTTCACCCGTGTGTGTTCTTAAATGGATTTTCAGATCAGATGATGATCTATATTTCCTATTACACTCAGAACATGAATGAGGTTTTTCACCAGTACAGTACACGCCGAAAATCTCCGCAACACGATTTACACGATTCAAAATTTACACGATTCGACTGCTCGCGGGAATCGTGTAACCATTTATTTTTACACGATTCGTTTTTTGCCAATGAAGCGAAATTTGAATCGTGTAAACGTGTAATCGTGTAAAATTACACGATTCCTCAATTCAGGTCGAATCGTGTAATCGTGTAATCTGCCCGCCGAAAATCTCCGCAACACGATTACACGATTCAAAATTTACACGATTCGATTGCTCGCTGGAATTGTGTTACAATTTATTTTCAGTGGTGATGGTGAGCAGGTTAAGGACGTCTAGTTCAGTAAAAGCAAGAAGTTACTTCTTGGTTGAACGAGGACAACGTGGACGATACGAGGGGATAGCGAAGATTACGCTTTCTTTCTCTTGTATATATTTTTAATTGCAGTGTCTTGTCTCTAGTTTTATTATAGAATGTTTGAAAGTTAAAAAAATCAGTCCACTTCCCGAAAAGCACTCTCGGATTTAATCCTCGGTGAGAAAAAAGAAAAAAGCGATGAACGACGAAGGAAGGGGGCAATTTTGTTATTACTAAGTTGTAAATAAGTAAACATGATTACCAAATGTAAAGGAGGGCTAACATAATTAAGTATGTTGTGATACTCTTACATTACAAGGCTGTACCAATTAGAATTACGGTTCACCAGCTCATTCGTTACTATGAATATCTTTATACTTTTTTTTATTCAATCATTATCCATTTTACAAACCTGGTTTGTAAAAACGCGTCATATGACGCACGAAAACCAAGGTTTGTCGACAAACCTCCTTTGTGAATTCGGGCCTTAGACTTTGATCACTTATTGCTTTTTTAGCGTTCCTCATTTTCGTAAATTACCTTTTACAACATTGCATTATTCAGCTATATGTATAAAACGGTCAAGGCTTAAGGGCACACTTCCTGTCACATACAAAAGAAGCTTACTCTGAATGTAGCCTGCCATTGACCCTCGCCGGGGACAAAGGCCGTTGCCCTAGCTACAGGCAGAGATCCTTACATAATACCTATTGTTCAGGGGGTTCCCCTTGAACATAGGATCCCCCTGAACAATAGGTATTACATGTACGTAAGTATGTAAGCCACTGGCTACAGAGTGTAGGGAACAGTTGCAAGCCGAGAATGAATAGAATAAGTGAATGGCCAACTGTCTTTGAGTTACGTTTAGCTAGCGGCACAGTGTCCCCCACTTTTTCAAGTTCCCCCAAAGTGCCCCTTTGTATGTAGGAAAAGTACCTATTTTACTTTGACAAGTGTCCCTATTAATTTGTAAAAGTGCCCCTTCCCCTTTTCAACTCTGATAAGTGCTCCTTTTCTTTTGACACACACCCCTTTTCCTTCGACGAGTTCCTAGTTTCCTTTACAATAAGTGTCCATTTTCCATTCTAATTAGTGTCCTTTTAATCTCTAGTAAGTATCCCTCTTTAAGTACGAGAAGTGCCCTCTTCACTTTTGATAAATGCCCCCATCAACTCCGATAAATGCCCCTATTAAAATCTGATCGGTGCCCCTTTTCTTTCAACTAAAGCTTTTTTTTATCTCTCTCTCTCTCTCTCTTTCTTTCAATATCTTTCCATTCCCCCATATCTTTCTCGCCTCTCTTTCCCTCATTATGTTCCCCTCTTACCTTATTAATTTGGTTCTTTTCCTCTCCGTTTCATAGCCTTCTCATTTCTGTTAATTTTACTAGGTTTCGCCCTTCTTTTTGTTATCACTCTATTTCACTCTTTCTTTTCTTCCGGTCAACTTTTTAGTTTTCCCTAATTTTTTCTCTCTTTTTTTCTGTTTATCTTTATCGTGCCTTTCAACCCTCATTTTCCTTTTATATGTTCCCTTCTCCTCGTAGCTATCTTTTTTCCTTTACTATTTCATCTATCATGTCTTCCTGTTTCTGACGTTTTCCTACCTTGTCTCACGGATTAGTATACTATACATGTTAGTGGAAAGTGCTGAGGTTTATACACGAATATAAAGTACAGTAATTAACTGATGTACACTGAAGGTAAGTTGTGTATGAAGCAATTGGTGTAAGCAGGATAAGATTTAACGATTGTTGCAGCTTGTCGCATCGTTCTACCAATGCCCTTATAACCCTAATAACTAGTTACACGATTACACGATTCAGAGCGACATTCTTCAATCGTGTAAATTTACACGATTACACAGTTACACGATTGTTACATCTGGTCGAATCATCCGACCAATGCACTTAACTATTTACACGATTACACGATTCAGAGCGACATTCTTCAATCGTGTAAATTTACACGATTACACAGTTACACGATTCAGGTGAATCGTGTAAACCGTGTAATCCTAAAAATAAATCGTGTAATCGTGTTGCGGAGACTTTCGGCGTGTACTGTATTTGTTAGCATGTGTTTATTGAGGCTACTTTTAGTAGCACTTCTCATACTGCATTCAGGACATTGATAAGGCTTTTCACCCGTGTGTGTCCTTATGTGTTTTTTGAGATAACATGCCGAGTGAAATTTTTTGTTACAATAGGTACATTCATAAGCCTTATCCTTAGCGTGTAGTTTCTGGTGCCTCTTGAGGTATTTTATAGCAGTAAACGTCTTATTACATTCTGGACACTTAAAAGGCCTTTCATCAGTGTGTGTAATCAAATGTTGTGCCAGAGTATATTTGCTATCATACTTCTTGTTACACTCTGAACATTGATACAGCTTTTCAATTAAACACTTTTCACTTGAGTGTGTTCTTAAATGTCTTATCAGATTTTGTTTAGAAACAAATTTCTTGTTACATTCTGCACATTGATAAAGCATTTCCCCTGCATGTTGTAGCAAATGATTAGTGAAGGAGTGTTTAGAAACAAACTGCTTATCACACACAGAACATTGATATTTTTCACCTGTGTGCACTCTTAAATGTATTTTTAGATAAGCTTTTGAGCGATATTTCTTGTCACACTTTGGACACTGATGGAACTTAGTAGTGGAATGTTGTTTCATGTGCTGTCTAAGGTTACTTTTACAATTAAACCGGCTACTACACTCAGAACACTGATACGGTTTTTCTCCACTGTGAATTAACATGTGCTGAGGGATACTGCTTTTATCAGAAAATCTCTTGTCGCATTCAGGACATGGATAAGGCTTTTCACCAGTATGTGTTCTTAAATGTCTTGCGAGGTCATATTTTGAAGGACATTTCCTACCACACTCAGAACATTGGGGATATTGCTTTCCTGACTGCATTCTCAATGAGGGTGTAGCATCACCATTTAACTTGGAAGGGACTTTATCTGCATCCTTAATATTATTCCTACCATCATATCTTTTGCTATCACTTTCTTCTGGACATCTCTCACTTTGAATGCTGTTACTCGAGTCAGAATTGAACGTACGGTCACAACTACCCTCTACATTGGTGTGTGAAGTATTCTGGTCCTCTGAGTCTGCATGAGGACTTCTTAACTGTAACTCATTTTCCAAACTTTGACGCATGTTACTAGGACTGCAGATGGAGCCTGCAAATGATATAGAAAGTATCAGATTAAAGTCATTAAAAAAATACTACAAAATTATTGGTCAACATTTTATCAACCTTCTATTGACAGCTACTTCATTCAGTTGTGTTAAAACAAGCTTCAATTCGGACAACAAATGTCATTTGTACACTCATACATCTTGCTCTACTTGACCTTGAGCCATGCTTATTTCAAATTTATTTCTAGTTTAAAGGAAAAATTTAACCTAACTAGTCAACTACTCTTAAACGAAGTGATAAATTACAGAAGCAGAATGGTGAACATTTGAATATAATCAGACAAAACAATAATATGAAATTTTAAAGTTGCAATCAATATATGCATGGGCACTTCAAATTGGTTGAGTAGGTAATGTCACTGTGATGTAGTACCGGAAAACTCAGTAGACTAATAAGGTTTTTCTTCATGATGTACTAACGTGTGCTTAGTATGGAAAGGTTTACCACAAAAGATCTTTACACACTAACATTGATAAAGCTATTCACAACTTAGTATGTGTTTTCATATGAGTTTGAAGGTTTTTTTTAAAGAAAATCTTTTATCGCACTGTAAGCATGGATAAGGCCTTTCCCCTGTATGTACCAGGTAATGCCTTAAGAGACTGCCTTCGGTAAAATCTTCGACCACATTTTGAGCATGAATAAGGCTGTTCACCAGTGTGTGCTCTCATATGTAATATCACAGTTTCTTTTTGTCTACATTTCTTATCACACTCGTCACATTGATGGGCATCTCTCCAGTATGAATCACCATATGCCTTTTAAGGTTCGACTGAAATGTAAAGCCCCTATTACATTCAGAACATCGATAAGGCTTTTCACCGGTGTGAGTTAGCATGTGTTTCTGAAGGTAATACCTTGAATCAAACATTTGATCACAATGAGAGCATTGGGTATGCTTCACTCTAGTATGTACCTTCTTGTGTCTATTTAGAGCTCCTATATAAGCATATGTTTTCTTACATTCAGAACATTCAAAAGGCTTTTCTCCAGTGTGTACCAGATTATGCTTTGAGAGATTTCCTTTGGAAGCAAATCTTCGACCACATTCTGAGCATGAATAAGGCTGTTCACCAGTGTGTGTCCTCATATGTGATATCAGAGTTTCTTTTTGTCTAAATTTCTTATTACACTCGTCACATTGATAGGGCATCTCTCCAGTATGAATCATCATGTGCCTTTTAAGGTTCGACTGAAATGTAAAGTCCCTATTACATTCAGAACATCGATAAGGCTTTTCACCGGTGTGAGTTCTGACATGTTTCTTAAGGTAATACTTCGAATCAAACCCTTGATCACAATGAGAGCATTGGGCATGCTTCACTCCAGTATGTACCTTCTTGTGTGTATCGAGATCTCCTTTATTAGCATATGTTTTCTTACATTCAGAACATTCATAACGCTTTTCACCGTTATGCGTTAGCATGTGTTGATTGAGGCTACTTTTAGTAGCACTTCTCTTACTGCATTCAGGACATTGATAAGGCTTTTCACCAGTATGTGTCCTCATGTGAGTTCTAAGGTGTGATTTTGAAACAAATTTCTTGCTACATTGAGGACATTGTTGAGTCCATTCCCTGTGGAATCGTATAGTGTGATTAGCAAGGCTACCTATGTCGGTACATCTTTCACCACAAAAAGAACAGAGAAAGGGCTTTTCACCAGAGTGCGTTCTTAAATGGATTTTCAGATCAGATGATGATCTATATTTCTTATTACACATAGAACATGAATGAGGTTTTTCACCAGTATGTGTTAGCATGTGTTTATTGAGGTTACTTTTAGTGGCACTTTTCTTACTGCATTCAGGACATTGATAAGGCTTTTCATCAGTACATGTATGTGTTAGCATGTGTACATTGAGCCTACTTTTAGTAGCACATCTCTTACTGCATTCAGGACATTGATAAGGCTTTTCACCCGTGTGTGTTCTTATGTGAAATTTCAGATAACATGCTGAGTGAAATTTCTTGTTACAATAGGTACATTCATAAGCCTTATCCTTAGCGTGTAGTTTCTGGTGCCTCTTGAGGTATTTTATAGCAGTAAACGTCTTATTACATTCTGGACACTTAAAAGGCCTTTCATCAGTGTGTGTAATCAAATGTTGTGCCAGAGTATATTTGCTATCATACTTCTTGTTACACTTTGGACACTGATGGAGATTAGTAGTGGAATGGTGGTTCATGTGCTGTCTTAGGTTACTTTTACAATTAAACCGGCTACTACACTCAGAACACTGATACGGCTTTTCTCCACTGTGAATTAACATGTGCTGAGGGATACTGCTTTTATCAGAAAATCTCTTGTCGCATTCAGGACATGGATAAGGCTTTTCACCGGTGTGTGTCCTTAAATGTCTTGCGAGGTTAGATTTTGAACTCCATTTCTTACCACACTCAGAACATTGGTGATATTTCTTTCCTGAATGTATTCCCAATGAGCGTGTAGCTTCACCATTTAACTTGGAACTGACTTTGTCTGCATCCTTAATATTATTCCTACATTCAGCTCTTTTGCTATCATTTTCTTCTGGACATTTCTCACTTTGAATACTGTTACTTGAGTCAGAATTGATCGTACGGTCACAACTACCTTCTACATTGGTGTGTGAAGTATTCTGGTCCTCTGAGTCTGCATCCTTAATATTATTCCTACATTCAACTCTTTTGCTATCATTTTCTTCTGGACATTTCTCACTTTGAATGCTGTTACTTGAGTCAGAGTTGATCGCACGGTCACAACTACCTTTTACATCAGTTTGTGAAGACTTCTGAGATTCTGAGACTGCATGAGGAGGACTTGGTATCTGCATCCGGTTTCCAAAGCTTTGAGGAACGTTGCTAGGACTGCAGACATCTGTCAACAAAAATGTATCATGTTAAGTTATTAAAAATAGGAACGCAAAAATATCAATCAACTTTAACTTCTAGTTTACCCTTTGAGTGCACCCTCAAGGCCCGGCCAGACCTCTCTAATAATGATACTGATAAAATCTATGCATTTATAATGTGCGATAACAATGAACCTAATCAGACCTTCTTGCTTTTTGCAATGAAAAAGACGTTGGTTCTGACGATCAAGAAATATGGAAGCTGCCTCCATCCTGTCTTTTAATTATTGGCTCAAAATCAAATAAATATTGTTGAGGATTGTTTTTTTTTCTATAAATTCAGTTTCTGAGTGATCAAGACGAGATGATATAATCTTTACACGCGGCTCTTTAGTATAAATCATTGAGATCTAACCTCCAACATTTTCAAATTCATTTTCATTTTAACAATAGGGAAGTACTTTATAGTAATCATTATCGTTTTGAGACTTGAGACCATGTTTAGTTCAAATCCTATTTTAGTTCATGCGTACATGTGACAACAAAACATTTACATGTAGAAGAAAGGCAAACAAACTCATACCCCAAAATGAAGTCCTCCCACACTTTAATAGAATACTAGTTTTAATTGGCACCTTCTGTTCAAAGATGTTTTTCATAGGAATCTAAAGGAAATCATCATTTTCCCTAGAAACTCTATTTCCAACTTGTGATTAGATTAGTGAATGCACTTGGTCGCACTCGCATAGAAAATTGACGAAGTTTAGTTCTTTGTTACTTGTTTACTACATAATTCTCTTATTGCCATTCCTTATTCCCTTTCCGGATTCTTGATGGGCCATTGCGCACGCGCCGTTTAGATAGATAAGCATTGTGACATCACAAACTAACACGCCTCATTAAATGCGCGCTAATATAATTGTGCGCGGGTCATTGATAGCGCGTTGACTATACACTGACCGTAAAAGGGATTATTTCAACATTGGTGTCAGACAGAAAAATCCCTTCAAAAAACCCTTGAAAAATCCTTTCAAGAGAGAATTATCTTGCTTCATATGAGGATTTTTGAAGGGATATTTGAAGGGATTTTTTAAGGGATAATTGATGACAGACAGCCAATTAAGAGGATAACTAAAATCTGGGTAATTAAAATCCAGATTTTTAGCCTCTGTGTGACACCGCCTATAGATTTCATACCTTGATGTGTTAATGACTGTGTAGCATTATCAAATGGAGAGGATGGTGTTTCATCTGGCTCTTCTTCTTTGATGCAGTAGGTATAGATCTTGTATCCTTCTGCAATTCCCGATTCCAGTTCCTCATCTCTGCCGTTCTTACTTTGTTCTAATGAAAACCAAACAGATAAAGAAACGTGTTATGCAGGGAATTATTTTCATGTACTAACAAACCTTAATGCCTGTAAAAGGAATACATTACTGAAAAGTCATGTTACTATATAAAATAGAATAAATCAACCTTGCCATAAGGAAAGAGACCACAGCAAAACAAATACCGGTAAGTACAAATTTGAGAAAATTCAGGCAAAGAAACAGAATAAAATAAAAGTTATGATTATTTCAAAGTTTGAGATCACCTATGATAAGCGGAGCCTTAAATTGGCAATGTTGTCAAGATGTGTCATTTATTACATGGACAGATTGCTTCATCCCCAAAAATATTCAAACAGTTTGTAGGTATTCTTTGAATTTTCAAAAAAAAAGAATTTATAACAGTAAATGGAAGTCCTCCATGGATCATGGATGACATGGCATCTTAAAACTACATTACAATTACAAGAAAGGCTTCATCAATCATCAAGATCAATTGTCCATTCTTTAAAATGATTTGAAGGTTGATATACAAACTAAATTTGTATTAACCCTTACATGTACATGTACACTCAATCTCATGATCTCATCCAAACCATATCAATGTGTTTTTTTACCTTGATGAGCTGATGACGACTGTACAGCATCATACTGTAGAGAAGGTGATTGAATTTCTTCTAGGACTTCTTTCTTGATGTGGATCCTCAGAGATTTCATCTTCATTGATGGCTGCTGTTCCTCCTGTGTACTTTTGGAACTTTTTTCTAGAGGAAAAAAAAAGAAACAAAAGCTTATGTCTCAGATCCTATTACGGTAGATAACTTCACACAGGCGCACGCCTGCCTGCAACCCACCATCGGTATGCACTTGTATTGTGCAGCGGTTTGACGTGAAACCTGTGAAAAAGTGTATACTAATATCAACGTTTTCCCGAAAAATACTCCAAAAATAACAATAAAATTGACACAAAACAGGTAATAAACATAACGACTTTTAACTCATGATTAGGGTGTCTGATCGCGCACCCGATGTTGTGGGCTAAAATGCTCCCCATAGAGATTACATGCATCCCTATGTGGTTTACGTGCATTGTGCGACCATGCAAAATTGGTCAATGATTTTATGAAAAAATTTGAATTCAAACCTTTAGGCCTCGTGATCCTGAAGGTGAAACTCAAAAAATGAGGTGTCATATGAAAGAGCAGGTTTTTCTCCATATTTCCCAAGGGGGCTCACCCCCAACATTCTAAAAACATCTTGGTCAAGACAGCGATTGAAATGTTGCTTACATCCTAGCTCCTCAACAAATCACTTTCCTGAGCCGAGCCCCCGCGGCTTAAGTAGGGCTAGACATAAGGATAATATCCAGGTGCTTTTTTTTTGCTAGCCCTAAGGGATCATTCGGCCCAACAGTTTGAAAATACCCTTCCCACATATTTGGAATCAGCTAATTAGGGAGGCCTGAGCTCTGCTCAGTCCTAACCATGGTTACATCGCGCACATAAATATGCATTCGGACCGTGCACGAAGCAAAACCGGAAGTCAATGCACGTTATATGGGATGGCTAGCGAATTGCGCTCCCAACCCGGAAGTGAGTACACGTTATAAGTCAATGGCGATGTCGCGGAAACAACGTGGTCAGGTTTTGCGCATTCAACTAGCAACATGTGTACGCGATGCATACGCATGCATATTGCGCGATGGAGCATCTGCTAGCTGTTTGGCTAAATTTAGCAAAACAACATCACTCTGCGTTTACGTCTTTTTCGTCGAGTCCGATCAAAATGATATGAATATTGCAGAGTTTTGAAAGGGCTGTATCTTTTGATAGAAACATCGGTGAGTCTTGAAATTTGAAATATATTATTATTATTACACTGTTTATTCATATATTTTTTTTAAATAGTGAAAAATGATCCCAAATTGAAGATTGAAAAATTGTCCAGACACCCTATCATGATCATTATTTGGACAATATTTACTGCGTTTTGGGTATGTTTTAGTAGGGTATCTGCACGCAGGAGTTACAGGTCAAATTTTGGATACGTTTCTGAACAAGCGCCAAGTTCTTTGTGCAGTGCCGTGCAAGTGCAGCAGCCATCCCAGACCTGCCAACCTCTGGAGTTCAAAAACTGTATTCTTTAATCCTCAAAGTTGTATTTGACCGACAAAAGTTGTATTCTTAAAAAAAAACACAGACTTTTACGTGGATCAATGCCTCTTACAGTTCCTACATACAGGAAGAAATTTTTGTATGGATCTTTGGTTTGGTTGAATATGCATGATTTCGTCACGACTGGTGTGTTCGATGAACCAATGAACATCCCCAAATTGCCGATGTGAGATGCTTTATATGACAGAATGGGCAACTTGCCAATTGAAAATAGCACACACACACACACAAAATACAAACAACAAAAAAAAATAATGAAAAAAAAAAAAAAAAAAAAATCATTTTTTTTTTTTTTTTTTTTAAATCGTATTTTAGGCATACTCGTGATATAGGCCCCGCAACTGTTTTGAATCGATTATAATTTTATACTAGACTTCTAACTTCAGCCAACTCACTATATATACTCGTGATCGAGGCCCCGCGCAACGGCATCGCGCGAACTTCAACACAGCAGCGGGGCCTGTATCACGACTATACTTATATACTCGTTATCAAGGCCCCGCACTACGGCATCGCGCGCACTTCAACACAGCCGCGGGGCCTGTATCACGAGTCATTATACGAGTCTCCTATTCAACTCGCTATATATACTCGTGATATAGGCCCCGCACAACGGCGTTGCATGTTCTACAACACGGACATGGGGCCTGTATCACGACTATACTGTATACTCGTGAACAAGGCCCCATCCTATGCATTTTCAAGACGGACAGCACGGTAGTGGGGCTTCTTTCACCGAAGTATAATTTAGGGGGTGTTTTGAGGTTTAATGAATAAAGCTAGCAAATTATTAAAAAGGGTTACATTTAAATGATTAAATTTTATCTTTTAGACCCTATTTAAATATTTTAACTTTTTTAATATTTTTCCTTATTAAATTGTTTAGACCCCCCTCTTTTAATATTTTTCCTTTAATATTTTTTCTTTTTTAATATTTTTGCCCCCTCTCTTTAAATTTTTCTTTAAGTTTACTTTTTTTTGGGGGGGGCCCTACCCCCCCCCTCTCTTTAAATTTATCTTTTAGTCCTTTTTTATTTTTTGGGGGCCCCACCTCCCCCACCTCCCCCCCCCCCCCCCCCCCTCCTAATTTTTATTTTAAAAATAAATCCCTTTCAACCCCCTTTTTAACTCCTTTTATTGCTGTCCGTCATGAAAATGTTGGCTGAAGACTGAAGGTAGAAGTCGATTACAAGACGGGTAAGTTGCGGGGCCTATTTCACGATATTGCCGTATTTTATTGAGGAAAATCGTACTGTCGTATTTGATAATAAAAATCATATTAAAAAAGACTAAATCGTACTGCTTGGCAGGTCTGCCATCCAAGCGGCCAAGCCTGACGTTCACACTCACAGTCACGGCAATAAATAAACGACAGGCCACACCGATTACGAGCCGTGACCGAGTAAAACTAAAAAAAACTAAGGTCTGAAATGTTACCTTGGCTTTATATTTTATAACTTAACCTCAAGTAAAGTTCTAGATTAGATCTATCTCCAAATTTATTATTACATAGGTCTAGTCTAGAGTCTACAATGCCATCAACAAAATTTGGTCAGAAAGTGCCTAGGCCTGGACCTATCTAGATTCTAGGCCTTGGCCTATGACTATTTCCAAGAGGGATTCCACCACCGCGAGCTTTCCCCCTGAAGTGTCGGCGTACATCGGTACACACTAGCCTACAGCTGAATGGCCATGTACCAGTGGCATGGCATGGCAGTGGCCTGGCGCTGGCTAAGGTCGAGAACAGCGTGATCACGAATTAACAACTCACCAAAGCTGGCCGTATTACTCTTCATAGCACACAGCCGTGTTTTTCTCTTACTCGTTTTCGGTTTGAGCTAAACCTAAGGCTGAGATTATAGCCAGACTTCAGAGAAAATGAGGTCAGAACGCCGAACGGGAGCACTTCTTCGTTGTACGCGTTGACCGGAAGCGCCCCCGTAAATGAGCTTTCAGCAACGAAGAGTGGTAATCGCGCCGAATACCAAATAAAGCACGCGAGCACATTGTATATTATATACGGAAAGCCAAAGGAGGAAAATATTTATATACATATATATATATATATATATATTCGATTCCTGCAAAATGGGTCATTATCGAAGTATATTCATTGTTTATAAAGAAATATAAATGCGCAATTAAACTAAAATTGATGTTTATAAGAAATATATGTGTTATGAAAACATATTTGATGTTGAAAATTATATATGTTTGTAAAAATAGACTCTATATAGATCTATATATGCAATGTTTAAAAATAATATACGGTATGCGCTATATATTAGTATTATATTAAGATATATTTGATGTTTATGAAAATATTTGCGCTATCAAAATATGTTCGATGTTTTTAAAATCCATGCTCTATCAATTTATGCGAAATAATTCGAAAAAATATGTGTCGAACCCAGGCGCGGATCCAGGATTTCTTAGGGGAGGGGGCCCAACTTTTTTTTTTTTTTTGCTCCCGAAAATTTGAAAATCGCGCCGGCCGAAAAGTCGCTCAGTGGGGGGGGGGGGGGGGGGGGGGGGGTAAGCGGACATTTTTTTTGGTTTTTTTTTAGTCCCAAAAAAATTCGCAACGACTCAGCCAGCCGAAAAGTCGCTCAGTGGGGGGGGGGGGGGGGGGGGGGGGGGGGAGGGGTAGAGAGCACAATTTTTTTTTTGGTCCTCGAAAGTTTTAAAATTTGCACCCCCCCCCCTTGAGCGCCAGGGGGGGGGGGGGGCCCAACCCCCAAAAAAGGTCAAAATCGTGTGATTTTGCATGATTTTTTTCTCAAGGGGGGGGGACCCGGGCACCCCGGACCCCCCCTGGATCCGCCACTGGTCGAACCTTCTTTCGTTTGATCGTTTGATTTTTGAGGAAGAGAATACCGGTATTAGGTGTGATATACTCCGTTCTATTTAAATTCCCATTATCAGTTCCAGTGCCACGGAGGTATATAGATTGGGTTCAAAACAGACTTGAAAAATATGAATTATGATGCACGAAACCTGGATTTCCGGGGGGGGGGGGGGCTTTTGGTGTACTTGAAAAAGTGCCCATTTTTACCTAGGAAAAGCGTGCCATTTTACTTCATATAAACTAGTGTTCCATTTTGATAATAGGTGTCTGTTCCACATTCTTTCCATGACGATTGCCCCTATTCAAATCTGCGAGGTACTTTGACTAGTGCCCCTAGCTTTTAGAAGTGCGCCACTACCGTTCTGATAACGCCAATTCAACGCCCCTGGATCCGCTACTGGAAAAGAGAATCTCTAACCTGCCAAACTCTAGCCAAGAAAATATTCTCGAAATATCCCAAGACGAAAATCCAATTGAAACCAATTGAACACCAATTGAAATTTCAATTGGTTTCAATTGGTTTCAATTGGTCTCAATAGGTTTTAACAGGTTTCAATGGGACCTCAGATGTTTTCAATTGGTCCAGATTGGCCCCATTGGACAAATTGGCCCCATTTGCCCCAGTGGCCTGGCCCCATGCATTAGACTTTAATGGGTCCCCAATTGGTTTCAATTGGTCCGGATTGGCCCCATTGGACAAATTGGCCCCATTGGCCCCATTGGCCTAGGCCCCATTAGACTTTAATGGGTCCCCAATTGGTTTCAATGGGTCCGGATTGGCCCCATTGGACAAATTGGACCCATTGGCCCCATTGGCCTAGGCCCCATTAGACTTTAATGGGTCCCCAATTGGTTTCAATTGGACCAATTGGCCTTAATTTGGACTTCAATTGGTCCCATTGAAACCAATTGACCAATTGAAACCAACAAATCTAGGCATCTCATGAATATTCATTATCACTTTACACGTGTCACAGAAAAATAAATTTATCATGATTTGTTAAGCAAATTATGACAATGCACATCAATTTTGTGATTTCTTTATTCCTTCAGCAATTATTAACCAATAGATTATTTTGTCTGATCATGTTACAATTACATTCACGTTTTAGCAATAGATATATTGACTTATATATTGATTATATGATTACTAACCAAGAAACAATATACATATTTAGTATATATATTTGTATGAGCCAATGGCATTGTAAATGAAACTCTTGAATTCACTACAAATGATCTTTGTGATGAAGTTAATGCAAATGAGATTGGAATATACCTAATTGGTGGACAGTTGCCAATATCGATTATGAAGTATCAATAATTTATCACTGGTTCTTCTAACTGGATCGATTTACCAATTGGATCCCCATTGAATTTCCCCATTGAATCCCAATTCAATACCAAATGGCAATTTGGAGTAAATGGATATAATGGGCAAGATATCAATTGGTCCCCAATTTGGAGTAAATGGAAAGTGAAACAATGGGTACCTATTGAAACCAATTGGCAATTGGTCCCCATTGGAACCAATTGGCAATTGGTCCCCATTGGTTTCAATGGGTACCCATTGTTTCACTTTCCATTTACTCCAAATTGGATTCAATGGGGACATTCAATGGGGATTCAATTGGATTTTCGTCTTGGGATCGCAGAGAACCAACAGCAAAAGGCCAAATAAAAAAAACAAAGGATGAGACTTGTTGTTTTGGAGTGGTTGTGTTTCAAGCCCCCACCCACCGTACCCCCTATCTCTCTCTCTCTCTCCTTTTCTTTCATCTTTTCTTTTCAAGTCTTACATTTTGCCATTCTAAAGATGTTATAGTATATCAAAGTATTAGTCATACATAACATAATTCATACAAGAAAATGATATGCTACAATAATATGATGTATTACAAAAGCATGTCTCACTGGTTGTTTCAGACAGTTCTGATTTATGTATTAATTTCAGCATATTGCAAGTAGGGCCTACTGCAAGTCATCTCTTAAACCATTTTCAACACTGAATTGTAGCTGATTTCAGCCATGATGTAGATTGTTCTAACACTCTTCATTGAAAATCATTATCTATTTACCTAATGAAAAAGGAGGCACAGTACAACAATTACTGCAATTTGTGCATGCTTTGGTAAAGAATTATATATATCTTATGTAATTATGTATCTGTATGTATATTTGTGTATAGTTATGTAATTTACCATCAACTATATGGGGAGCCTCCTCCAGAAACTCAGTTTCTTTTGGTAATCCCTGCAGGCATTAATTAGCGGCTTTTTTTCTGTTATTGCATCTATTAGTGTAATTTGTTTTCTTGTATTCTTTGTTATTGTTATACTCCATTATGTCCTGAACATGAAATGAAACGAAAATGAAATGAAAAAGGAAAATCATCTGACTTATATTGTGTAAACATATGTAGGTCTTCATGAAGGATATACACTCTGCTTTCACACATAAAAAGTTGCTTTGTTATTTTTATTATTCATCTTGAACACATGAAAGTAGTAGCTCATTAGGTAGCAGTAGTAACATAATTGTAGACAGGAAAATAAATTCATGAGTACATTCTACATTCATATTATAGTACATTTTATAAAATGTTCACATGGCAAGTATAGCTAGAATTACAATAATTAGAATAACAAACTTTTGATTTTCTTTTTTTTTAGTAGTTTAATACATTTTATTGAGAACATATACATCTGTATCACGTTGTGAATTATATCTTTGCATTTATGATGAAAGAAAATGTTCAAGATATCTAAAAACACTGCAATACTCCTTCATACAGAATTTTTTTCCAGGCACTTTCACAAACCGGGCATGGTGGCTCAGTGGTTAGAGCGCCCGCCTCATGAACGGGAGGGAGGTCGTGGGTTTGAACCCTGGCCGAGTCATACCAAAGACTTATAACAATGGGACCTTCTGCCTTCTAGCTAGGCGCTCAGCATATTAGATTGGAGAAGGGTAGTTATGCAGGGCCCGCTGGAAGAGCAGTTTCATAACTGAAGTGGCTATACCCTGGGTAAATAAAACGTTATTATTGTTATTTTTATTTCATAAATCAAATTCAAAAGGAGCTAATTTTATTCATTATTTATGTTATGTAAACTGTTTTCACATACTTATGCATGTACCGATATGTGCACATTATCAATGTTGATATTATTGCTATTCATAACACACCTCAGACTAAGGGATGTATGACAAGTTAGCAGGGCAAGATTGTAATCAAAGTATCATTTACGGTCTGAAAAGAACTGCCCTCTCTTGACTTACTACTCACACAAACACACTATCTTGGCTACACTAGGGCCCATATTCATAAAAACTTACCAAATTAGACTATGCTACATAGTTCATTGACAACAAGGTTCAATGAATATGAGCAATGGACACTGAACACCTTGATAATCTTCTTTTTTTCCCTTCTTTCTACATCGTGAATTTTTTTGTCAAATCTTGCTCAAATTGATGTACTCAATTACACTACTATACACACTGGTTGAATTTTAAAAAATGAGGAAAGTCTTATATGAAATTTAAGAAAACTTTGAAATTTGAATCATTTGATCATTTTTTCATTAGTGAATACACTGTAATGCCAATAACAAATCATAATCAATATGGTGTAGAACAAAGTGATACTGGATACTGAAACTGCACACTTCCTCTTCCTCTAAGTACATGTATCATATTTTCTTGGAAGATAAAATAAAAACAAAAATAAGACAAATTGTATTTGTATTTTTACTTCTCAGAGCAAAGCAGAAGACGATTAGAAAAATGTGATTCAATGTTGCATTCCCCGTATACTGAAATTGCACACTACCTCGAAGTACATGTATCATATTTTCTTGTAAGACAAAAAAAAAATAAAAAAAAAGAATAATTGTATTTGTATTTTTAAATAATTCTTAATACATAGCAGAAGCGATTGATATGAGATGTGATTCATTGCACAGCAGGAGAGAGTTAAAGTATATCATAATGGGTAATGTTGCATTCACATTGTGATGTCACAATAGAAATCCTGCACCAAACCAGTGATCTTCCAGACACCCCATGTTCCACTCGATACCACATATCCAACACCACTCATACTTGCACTGGGTACGACTGCATATCATATGCATGCATCCCCCTGGAAAGACAAAAAGGATTATATAAGTTATAGGTATAATCTGGATTTCATGTTAAAAACTATATTAAATGCAATATGCCTATCCATTTTGGAAGAAATTAAATCACACCCGAGTAATGAGAAACATACAATTAAATAGTTGAGCTAGTCATACCGACACACTAGCACAAAGAAAAAAAGAGCTAATATGAATTGTTCTATTCCATTGCCCAACAATGTGTACAAATAAAATCTGTTTTACAGAGAAGGTCGTGTGTACACAACAGCCCACAGCATGTTTTTTTTTGTGTCTTAAAGCCACCCCCTTAGACAGTGACTTTAAGTTGATGGTATATAGCTCATGCCTGCTCCTATTAATACATGTACATATTAAAGCATAGTCAAACATGAGGGAGTAAACATGTTTGTTTTAGTTTTTTTTTTTAAGCCGCAAAAGAAGTGATGAGCTTTATGATCATCTGTCGACCAATTCAATAAACTTCTGAAGATCCATTTATTTTGCTAGAAAACATGAATTACACATGACGTATACACTATGGCTATGACATCCACAGCACACAAGAGGTAAACTACCGTAATTGTGCTGTTTGTACCTCCACTAAAACCAACTCACCATTTCTCTCTACAGGCACTTTACAGTTTGGACAAGGTTTACTTGTCTCTCCTATGGTTCGCTTACTCTCCTCACTCTCCCATCTTGCTCTTCTCTCCCTCTCCATGTCGACCTCTGACCCCGACCCTCTCTGACCATGAGGCTCTTCTATCCTCTGTCCGCACTCCCCTTCGTGGTAAGCTTCATGACAGTTCCGGCAGAAGACAAACTTTGAATGAAAATGATTCATGGTTTAAGTTTAACGTTTATTCATAGGTTGAATGTGACTTAAATGGTAATTTACATGAAGATCTATTTATATCAAACCTAGCTATAAAGAGCTTAGGTATAGCAATACTGTCTTAACAATATAATTTTGATGGTCCTTGCTATTAACATTCTTTTGAGTGTGTCTGTTTTTTTTTTGCCTGATAAATAAGATACGGTAGATGTATCTGATATAAAAAGCAATAATGGTTCCAAAGTTTATTTTTTAAGGAGGTTCCACTGTATTTAAGCATGATCATAGTAACATTAAAGCTTCCTAAATATCTCACACCCTTTCATAGGGATCATTTTTACAACAACAAAAAAGATGAGGAACTGAAGCTCTTACCCCGCATCCAAAGCCTTCCTCCTGCAGGCATTCCACTCTGCTCTCACCATCAGACTCTGGTAGAATACCAGCCCCACACCCTGGGGAGGGGCACAGGACCCCACCCTCACTCAGAAGATACTCCTCAGTACCAAATCTCTTGTATCGGGCATACTGTCACATAAAGGAGAAAATGGGTATTTATTGTGACACGTACAAGTGGGGGTAGACTTTAGCAAGTAGTATTAAATTGAGACAGGTATCCAACCAATCCTTTTCATTTTAACAGAAAAAATGAAAACATATAGTTGGATGGAGATAATGACTATGAAGATGACTAAAGTCAGTCAATGTCACCTCCTCTTCCAAAATTAAGAACAGTTAACAAAGTTCATGATGCACCTATTATATACTTTTAGGCAGGATTTTACATCCAGCACATTGAAAAGTGTTCAGATGATAAAATCATGAATCATATGTAACAGACATTTGCCTACCATTAGAACATGATGTTCTACATGTTTTAACATACTAACACACTAACTTTAATGACTATTTCATCATAATTCCAAAAGGTTTCCCTGTGAAATTCAAATAAGTATACCTGTTCTTTTCCCAGCACCAGGAAATGATGTGTGTCTTTGATGAGAGAATCTTCACATCCAGCTGAGAGGACAAATCAAATCAAATCAAAGAAAATACAATATTAAGTGCATTCAAGGATGGCAGTTAAAAGAAATGAACTCAAAACCTTGCTGAAAAATTGCAATTTTCAGATTGAAGATAGAAGTTACAATGCACATATCATGCATTTAGCACATTGTGGGCAACATTTTCTAGTGGTACAAGTACAACTCAATTTCCTAATCATTATTTGCTCATTAAGCAGCTATCAAAATCTTGAACATTGTGCTGGTAGTAATGTCGATTTTGTGTGACAATCTCATGCTAAAAAAAAAAAGAATGGAAGATAAAAAAAGGCATCAATTAACATTCTGTCAAGAGCCAATTCAATTTAAGTCTTTATTTGCTTTTGATTCACGTTTACACACATGTATATATAGTTTATATACAGGATTAAAGGGTATTTTTGACAAAAGTTGAGTGTGGCAGTCCACTGTTCCAGCTGCCTACAAAAGCTGGTAAAGAGTTAGAGTTTTATGAATGTATTTACATTTATCTACATACATTTAAATATGTTCTTTATGTTGTATTGGCATTTATTTACATTTATTTACATACAATGTATGTTATTTACATTTACATACATGTATGTGTACAGAATTAAATTAAAGGGCATGTGTGATAAAAGTTGAGTGTGGCAGTCCAAAAAGCTGGTAAAGGGGTAAACTTTGATGAATTTATCATCTCTCACCTGGGCATGGTAATGTGTATCCTAGCTCAGGACTCTGAATGAACCTCCTCTCATCTAAACACAATCTGCAGTACTGTCTAAAACAGTCTAAACACATCACATGAGATGCTGAACATGGGAAGACTAATACTGATGTTCTGAAAAAATAAAAAGGAAAAGACGACAAAGATTGTTAGATATGCAGGACCATAGTGAGATACGAGTGGATAGATTTATTTTTCTACAAAAAAATTACATCAAATGGAATAGGACACACATTTTTAAAGACGTGTATTCCTTGAAAATTTGTAAGTAATTACACAGCATACAAAATTACACTGAAGATCAGAATGGGCATGTACTGCCCCTAACTGTTTTACATATCATGACACTACAACTTGATTTCATGCAAACACTAAAGGGAAATGTTTTAGGAAGTGTGGAGAGGGACTCTACTGCAGACTGGGCCTCCATCCTATGTGTAGGAAAGAGTGTTTCCTCTAGCTTAGCCTATATCTATGGGACAGGGAAAGCGCATATTAATAAACAAAACAGGCTTCAGTCATTTATATGAGCTGGAAATTGAGCCCACGATCTTTGGTGCCAATGTTACATGCTCTATCAACTAGCCAACTACCTTCATGGAAGTAATCAATTCAACTAAATCCTCAAACTTAAACATTAACATGACAGTTGAGTAGTTTGGATATACAGTGAAACCTGTCTACAAATACCACCCAAGGGAGACAAGAAAAGTGGTCGTTATAGGCAGGTGGTCTTTATGTACAGTTTTGTTAAGTACAGATTTCAATGAGAAACCATAGTCAACAGAAACAAAAAAAATATGGTCTTTATATAGAGGAGGTCACTAAAGTAGGTTTGACGGTACTTACAATATATCTGCACATGTGATGCATATAACCCTTCTTGTGTTGGTCTTTACTAGTGGTAGGACTGTGAATTGATCATTCACTGATGATGCATGGGATGAACATTTGAAGAAGAATTCCTGTCATAAGAGAAATGAAAAAGAGATAATCGGACACAAAATAGACTCAACTCTATAGAGCCTGGCTTTAGTACAAGTGCAATATCAAAGGAAAATATTCTTAACTACAGTTTATGAATTTAACAGGTAAATTATAGTGATCAACAATTTAAAGAATAAATAAAATCCATCTAAGAAACAATTCTTATAACTTTTTATTCTGGTCATTGCAAACAAGTGCCAAAGAATTAAGAACTTTGTAAAAAATAAAATGTGACATTATAAATTGAGAAATACAATAAATCTTTTGAACTCTTTATAATTGGCCGACAATGAAATTTTCCACATGACTCTTTGACCTTATCACTATGCCATGAAATTTACAAAGATATATGAATATCATTTCATAAGACAAAGATTGATTTAAAGAATATTATCTCTTTACAGACAGAAGGCTGCTAATTCAACTAATTTTGTGTCCAATTATGTTAAAATAAATCAGACAATATTGACAAGTTATCCAATAAAGTTTAGTACTCCTAAAAATGTTTGGGTTGAATGGAGGTCTAGCAAAATCTTGCAAAATACATGTAGCCAGGCTGCCAGAGATTCATTTGTACACTTTTTTGTACCCATGCCCCCATCAAATCCAAGCTAGATTTAATTTGACATCACGGTTAAATATGTACAAAAAGAGATAATGATCTTACAGCTTTTTGACCTTGGCATCCTGGTACAAGGCAGCTTCCTGATATCCTATTAGAGAGAATCACATCATCCCAGCATACAGGATCCTACACAGACACAGGAGTAGAAACAAATAAAAACATGATTTCAAATTAAAGAATGTTGTAAAAAATAATATACCGGTATATATGTATATTCCTATATGAGCACATGTTACAAGAAAAGGTTGCCTTTCTCAAGACAACTTCTATATAATTATTTTCCCCCTGAAATTCTACATTTATTTTCTAGCAAATTGATACACAGAAAGGGCCAGTGGACTTGATTGGTATTAGTTTAATACTGTGTAAAAAGACTGTTTAAACCTCATATTCAGTTGGAATGAAAATGAAAACTACTTTAGGTAAACTTAAATCTCAAAGTATGTCATACTTCATAAGTGAGAAGGTCCCTATAACTATTGATCCTCTGGAAAATTGCATCATCTTTATTAACTTTGAATCAAGTTCTTCTTTTTTCTGAATTAAAGAAAAGGGTTTTGAATATGAACATGTCCTCTGATAAATGGTTACCTCTTTGACAATAAAAGCATTATCCTTGCAGGTTTGACAGCATACTCTGAGCTTGCCGGGCTGGACTGAGCGGCAATGACTCTTACAATACACATAGAAGCTAGGATGAAGGGATGACGCAAGATCAACATCAGGAGTTTCAGGACTTCTCTGATCTACAATGAAAAGACATTTCTGTTAATATTACATTTCTGTATAGACTCTCAACTCTCTTGTTCTCATTTATATCACATCATTCACCTGCTCTTATTCTTGTGTTCCTTTTCCTAATTCCTTTTCTTTCTTCCTTATTTAATAATAATAATAATAATAATATTTAATTTTTATATAGCGCTTAATACAAATGTCTCTAAGCGCTTTACAAATATACTATTACCCCGGTCATTGGATTCAGTGCTTGCCCGCACACACTGTGTGCACAATCTCCACTCCCTGGGGAGCATTCCAGCCGGGCGTTACTTGACGCTCACAAGCTGTTTGACCAACAATGACGGCCGCATCCTACCGGGTACCCATTTGACACCTGGGTGGAGAGTAGCAAGTGCAGGTTGATATCTTGCCGAAGGATATTAGTGCCGTGTCGGGATTCGAACCCTCGACCTTCGCATCTCCAGTCAAGCGCCTTAAACCACTCGACCACGACACTCCTACTTCTTTCTTTCATTTTTCCTCATGTTCTTTGTGTTCTCCTCCTACTTCCTCCTCTTCTTCTTCTCCTCCTTATTGTGCTCTTTGCCTCCCCTCCCCATCTCTCTCTCCTATATTTTCAACAAAACTGAAAAGTAGCTAACATAAAATGTAGCTTGCCTATAAATCAAAGAAGCAGTTTTTTAAGTGGCCTTTATAACCATGTTCAGATATGTATTACACATTGATATGTATTATAATTATAACTGAATTACTAATATTTTCAGATATTGTTCTTATCAAAATAGATTTTCATTTTATGAACACATAACACATCATTTTGTTGTTCATATTGCACCTGTCACACACAGACACCCATTGCTCCCCATAATATACTAGGCATTGCGATTGGGCACAGGAGATGCTGAAGAATTTCAGGTGCTACCCACTTACTACACATTATTACAAATTACAAGGACTTAAATCTTGGAATGATCTAATATTCAGTGATCTATTTTGTAAAGAATATAAGCAGAATATCACAAAATCAACTACAAATGAATTTGACATACTCAATCTTTTTTTTACTGAAATGTAAATCTCAGTCTGATACATGTTTTTCCTTTAGAGTTAACTACCAAAATCAAAAGAGTAAAATGTTTACCATCTTTTTTTATTTTTAAATATTTTGTTAACACCTAGTAGTAGGCTCAATACAAACCTTCATCTATTATCCTCGACTCCATGAGAACATGCACTGGTTGTGGTTTGACTCCTTCATCTTTGATCGTCTTGGGTCCATCACTGTGACATTGAATCCTCTGAGCAGGAACAGCATGTATCATTGTGTTCTCACATATCCTCAGATCCTTGATGAAAAGTTAAGACAGAAAGGTATAGGTTATAGATTCACTAGCATGATACAAAGTGGAGATTAGACTGAATGAAAAATCAGTCCATTTCGTTCAGGGATATGTTCTGCTGGGACTACTTCTGGCTTCACCGAATCTATGGAGGAGACTGTCAACAATAAAAAAAAAAAAAGTTTTTCTGTCTAAGTGGAGACTCATCCTTTGCCTATAATGTACAGTTGCACATGATATACTTTTGTCTTTCTGTGTGAAAGAGACCAATCAGTAAGTTACAATCAATTTAATTTAATAAACAGACAAATATGTCTGCTTGGAAAAATATTTAGTCTGCTGATGCTCTCCTCTTTGGTGAAGCCAGACGTTGTCTCAGCAAAACAAAATAGATTTTTCTGTCTACCTATAATTATAAATAATGATAGACCTGTAGATTTCTATAAGACAACTTGATACTTTGTAAGAGTAATCCATTTAGCGGCTCACTCAGGAGGCTATACTAGGAAGGTAGGTGAAACGAGTAGGCCTACATGTACTTTCAACTTGCAAGGAGTGCCACACTGCCATATGAAGTGCAGAAACAATGTACAACTACAAAATCAACATCAATGACAATGTCAATGACAATGTGACAAAACACACTTCAATATGAGCACCAAATATTCTTCTCTTATTGGTGATCATGAATCATGTCAAGTATTTATCAGGTTGATTGTATATAGCTAATACATTTTACATGTGGCAATAAGGAAAAGTCGATGACAACAATTGACACCCACCTCCATTATTTGCACGTCATCTATCAATTTTCCAGCGAAGACCAGACGGATATCAGCGGGGGACTGCCCCGATAGGCGAGCCACCTCACTCCGCAGTTCGCCACCATTTTGCGACGGGTTGATATGCACTGTCATTACTGTTGCATTTTCTGCACATTTACTCAATTTCTGAGATTGAATTAGTTTTACTGATATCAGGACCCTATCCATATTTGAAGGACACAGCAAAACCTCATAAATCACATAATAACACACAAACACGAAGACGAACTGTGCCTGCTGAGCTGACGCTCTCAAAACAGCAACTCTGAGACTGATCGACCTCATGAATAATAAGTTAGAACCCGATTACGCAATGCAAGTTGAATATTCATGAGTCTATGTTTTTCTAGTTGGTCAACACTGGCATGCCAGTGTGACCGCGTAAAATGTAACCCGCACCGATCGTCCGACTATTAGAGATCGATCGAGAGCGGACGATCGGTGCGGATTTTATCCGCGCAGAATGTCCGTGTCGGACATTCCGTGCGCGCCTCAAATGTCTGACGGACAATCTGTGCTGAGGAGGTCTCGCACCAATAGTCCGCCTGCCGCACCGAATGTCCGTACTCTAGTCCACACGTATACATAGTCAAAACAAACAGGGATATACTCTCATATCCCTGATACAGATATAATTATACTTAATGAATGAAACGACTGGATAACCCATACTCAGCTTAACCAGCTAGCTAGGGACGAAACTACAGGCGGTGGCGGATCTAGTAGGGGGATGGGGGGGGGGGGCTGCAAATTGTTAAAATTTCGAGGGCCCCCCAAAAAAAGGTGCTCACTACCCCCCAAGATCGCGGAGAAAGGCCTTTGCCTCTGCCCCCCCCCCTCCCAGACCAACCCCCCCCCCCCTTCTCGCCAAAAAAAAAAAGAGAGAAAGAAGGGAAAGGGAAAGAGGAGAGCTAAAATGGAACACAAAAGAGGTAGAAAAAAGAAAAGGGTGAAAAGAAGCAGAGATCAGTTGCGATTAATCCCATCAACATCGTGTGGATCGGGGGGGGGGGGGGACTCGGGCGAAAGGCCCCTGCCTCCCTCACCAAACTTAAATGAAAGAGGGTGAGAGAAGTAAGGAAAGGGAATGGGGGGGGGGGAGAGGAAGAAGAAAGGTAGGGGAGATCAGTTACAATTTTTCTTTTAGTGTATTTTATATTAAAGCCAAAAAGCCAGATATTAAAAGTTAATCATTTTTTCCAATTTTGGTGTGATAAAATAATTATTGTTTGTGTTGTTGATGTATTGGAAAGGGTTCCAAAGCACAATATGTCAATGGATTCCTCAAAAAGAACAAATGGGCCTATGGTGGGGGAGGGGGGCAGTGTAGAAAAAAAAACTGTTGAGGAGCCTCTTTGGGGGGCTAGAATTTGTTAGGGGGGCCCAATTTGAAGTTATGCTAGCCAAATATTGGTACGTAATGGTGACACCGGCAGTGGCGAAATGAGCAAAAACGTTTGGGGGGGGGGGGTAGAAAAAAAACCGCACCACCCACTTTTCATGCAGGCCTCGCTGAACGTTTCTCTAAGTAGGTTGGGGGAGTGGTATTTACGATAAGACAGAGCGTAGCGTTAATTGGCGTGGGGTCTAGGGCCTTTTGGCCCCTCTGAACTACAACTTGTTGGCGGCAAAATTGCAACTGATATCCCGCTTCTTTTCTTTTCTTCTTCCTTTTTTCCCTCCCTTTATCTCTTCTTTTCCTTTTTCTTTCCCTTTTCATCATTCTCTCTTATTTTGTAATGGGGGGAGGGGGGGGGGGGGGGTGACAGCTTGGATCCAAGACCCTTTCGGCCCTTGATCTGCTTCTTCCCCCCCCCCCCCTTTTTTTTCACCTTCTTCTTCCTCTTCCTCTTCTTTCTTTCCCTTTCTCTCCTCTTTCCCTTTCCCTTCTTTTCCTTCTCTCTCTCTTTTTTTGCGGGGGGGGGGGGGGGGTGGCAAGGCCCTCCCGGCCCCCTGGATCCGCGTCTGCCTTTAGGGGGTATAGCTGCGCCTGTCGTCAGCTAGCTGAAAGTGTTAACAACTAAAAGCACAGTGTTAACAACTAAAAGTGAACCAGGTAATCGCAGTGAGGCAAAGTGGTCCCGTGGATAAGCAACCGCCTAGTAAGTGGAAGGTATCGGGTTCGATCCCCAGGTAGTGTATTTTGTTTTAAAGCCCAAAAGCCAGACATTGGAAGTTAATCATTTTTCCAATTTTGTTGCGATAAAATAATTATTGTTGGTGTTGTTGATTGTTGATGTATGGGAAAGGGTTCCAAATCACAATATGTCAATGGATTCCTAAAAAAAAACCTTAAAAAAGGGCCTATGGTGAGGGGAAGCAGCTGAATGTAGGAAAAAACTGTAATGGAGCTCCTTTGGGGGGGGGGTCTTTTTTTTTGGGGGGGGTCTTTTTTTTTTTGGGGGGGGTCTTTTTTTTGGGGGGGGTCTTTTTTGGGGGGTCTTTTTTTTGGGGGGGGTCTTTTTTTTTGGGGGGGGGTCTTTTTGGGGGGGGTCGTCAGCTAGCCGGCGGTCGTCAGCTAGCCGGCGGTCGTCAGCGTAGCCGGTGGCCGCTGTTGCTCTGTTTCAAATACAGTCCCGATTGCCGAGCAATGAATTATCTCATGCTTCTTGTCCGAAAACCATATCTAACTCGTTTTTAAAACGGTATCATTTTAATTTCCATTTCCCAGCATTATTTTGAACTGTCTTGAACTGAACTTGTTTTCCTATCTTATATTTCGATACCATTACGTCAGGAATGCTATTATTACCTCTCATGTAATCCTCGCAATTGACAAAAATATTCCGTCAATGAAGGGAGGGTCGGGTTTTTTTTTTCAATTCTTTAATTGATGCCATGTCAGAAAGAGCTGAATAATGTGTTACGTAACTATTCAAACATTGCAGGTGCAAGCTATTGAACACGGAATCGAATAGCCAAGCTTCCCTATTCATTGGTGCCCTGTTATAGAATTCGTAGCATATCCTAAATGGAATAGATCCGTGTTCTGTTCATTATGCTATGTCAGGGCAGTGGCCTATTGTCATATCACTTTAAGTTTAAGTCAGCAGTTTGCAAAATAAATGAAAATAACATAAAACCTCACTATTATATCAGAAATATCAGTAACTGTAAGAAAACATTTACGGGCAATCTTGACAACATCGGACTGCAAAAATATGAATAATTATGCATCCCGAAATCGTTAAATCAGTAAATCAACATATTAAAGTCGTTAACGCGCAGAAAGTGCTATAAGACCAAGAAGCGAACCAGTTAGTAGCAGTGAGGCAAAGTGGTCTTGTGGAAAAGACTGATCGCTTCACAACGCAATGTATGTATGTACTCGGGTTCGACTCCCAGCTTCTTCTTTCTACCTCATGTTATTTTTTTTTCTCTTTTTTCTTTACCCCATGATATTGACGTGTCCATCTCCTTTTTTTAAAGGGGACACCCCCCCCCCACCTCCTCAATAAAGGAGAAAATAACATTTGATACTCTTTCTTTAACAAGCGACTCTCTGAATAAGTTATAATACGTCTTTTGCTACATCTACAACAATAAGTACCAATATGAAAAAATACATGGAGATTACCAGTGTGACACATTAGTCTAGTGGATAGGCAAACGCCTGGCAACTGGAAGGTATCGGGTTCGACTCCCAGCTAGTGCTTTTTTTTTTAAAATAAATCTTTGAAAAAGAAAAAATGATGTTAGAACCCATTTTCATCTCTCTCAAAGTTTGGTGTGATAAAATAATTATTGTTGGTGTTGTTGATGTATGGGAAAGGGTTCCAAATCACAATATGTCAATGGATTCCGAAAAAAAAACCTTAAAAAAGGGCCTATGGTGAGGGGAAGCAGCTGAATGTAGGAAAAAACTGTAATGGAGCTCCTTTGGGGGGGGTCTTTTTTTTGGGGGGGTCTTTTTTTTCGGGGGGTCTTTTTTTTTGGGGGGGGTCTTTTTTTTTGGGGGGGGGTCTTTTTTTTTGGGGGGGGTCTTTTTTTTGGGGGAGGGGTCGTCAGCTAGCCGGCGGTCGTCAGCTAGCCGGCGGTCGTCAGCGTCGCCGGCGGCCGGTAGCGTTAGCCCCAAAGCCATGTCCAATTTTTAAACTACATTCAAGAGTCCCTTATTGCCAGGTTAAACAAGTTTTTACATTTTCAGTACTACTTACATCCATTTATTCAATTTGTACACTCCCATGCTATCCTTTTCCAGTCTGTAAACAACTTTACAACATGAATTCAATGATGGGCAATGTTTTACTCCTCATAAAAAAACGCCCAAACTTCGCGAGGTGAAACAAAGGGTCTTTCAATTCAAGTCGATTCAAGCCCAATATGGGCTAACAACTGGCCTGCATACCCGAGCAGAATCATTTTGTGCTCGACAAAGACACACAGCCTTGGGTAAAGAGGTCCATTATTATTATTTTTTTTAGTTATATTTTTTCATTGACAGTATACTATTAAATATCAGGAATATTGGATGCTCTGTTTCAAATACAGTCCCGATTGCCGAGCAATGAATTATCTCATGCTTCTTGTCCGAAAACCATATCTAACTCGTTTTTAAAACGGTATCATTTTAATTTCCATTTCCCAGCATTATTTTGAACTGTCTTGAACTGAACTTGTTTTCCTTTCTTATATTTCGATACCATTACGTCATCAAAATAATGCGGTATTTGTTGCAATGTCAGGAATGCTATTTCTACCTCAGTCTTTGGAAATCCTCGCAATGATGAAAGTATTCACTCGATGAAGGGAGTGTCCGTTCTTTTCTTCAATTCATTAATTGATGCCATGTTAGAAAGAGCTGAGTAGTTTGTTACGTAAATATTCAAATATAGCCGATGCGAGCTATTTAAAAAACTGAATCGAATAGCCTGCATCTTTAATATGAATAACAGTGAGCAGTGCCTAAATACAGCTGCACTGCATTTCTAAGTTAGCTTAAACGGAATGTTACTTTCAATGGCATGTTAGTTTGAATGCACCTGTTTCTAAACATAACAATCATTAAATCAGCATCAGAAAGTGTTAACAACTAAAAGCGAACCAGGTAATCGCAGTGAGGCAAAGTGGTCTTATGGATAAGCAACCGCCTAGTATGTGGAAGGTATTGGGTTCGATTCCCAGCTAGTGTATTTTGTTTTGAAGCCCGAAAGCCAGATATTAAAAGTTAATCATTTTTCCAATTTTGGTGTGATAAAATAATTATTGTTGGTGTTGTTGATTGTTGATGTATGGGAAAGGGTTCCAATGCACAGTATGTCAATGGATTCCTCAAAAAAAACTTGAAAAAGGGCCTATGGTGAGGGGGGAGCAGCTGAGTGTAGGAAAACTTATATTTCGATACCATTACGTCATCTTTCATACGCCTTCCCGGCATGCACCTCGATCGAGCATTGTA